TAAATAAAATAAAAGATCCATTGACTACTAAAACATATCTTTAAAAAATTCATGTAAAAAAGGAAGAGGTTAGCATCACTCCTGATTTGTATTGAAATAAGAAAACATAAAATGGGGGCCTGGGGCTGTGGTTTAGCAGGAGAGTGCTCTCCTCACACGTGCGAGACCCTGGGTTCGATCCTCAGCATCACATAAAAATAAATAAGTGAAATAAAGGTATTGCGTCCAACTACAACTAAAAAGTAAATTAATAAATATTTTTTAAAAAGCATAATTATGGATTCCTCCTCCAAAAGAAGTGAAAAAAAGAAATGGTAGAACACAAGATCACCAAATAAATTTAATTAAAATCCAATCAAAGCTGGATAAGGTGGCTCATGCCTATAATCCCTAGTGACTTAGGAGGCTGAGGCAGGAGGATTGCAAATTCCAGGCCAGCCTCAGCAACGTAGCCAGGCTCTATCTCAAAATTTTAAAAAGTCGAAAAAAATAAAAATGGCTGGGGATGTAACTCAGTGATAGAGCGACCCTGAGTTCCATCTCCAGGAACAGAGAGACAGAGACAGAGACACACAAAGGACAAAGAGAGACTAATTATAATAGGTAGATATTATTTGGATTTTTTTCATGGGAATTGAATTCAGGGATGCTCTACCACTGAGCTCATTCCCCAGCCCTTTTTATTTTTTTTATTTTGAGACAGGGTCCCACTAAATTGCTGAGGCTGGCCTTGAATTTTCAATCTTCTTGCCTCAGCATCCTGAGTGGCTAGGATGACAGGTGTGCGCCACCACACTCAGCTCACATCTGTCTACAGTTCTGAGTTACACTTCTACATTTGTATCTACATCCAGAGAATAAGAGAATTCCTCCAGATTTCTTTTCTTTTCCCTCCCTCCCTCCCTCCCTCCCTTCCTTCCTTCCTTCTTTCCTTCTTTCCTTCCTTCCTTCCTTCCTTTCTCAGGGATTGAACCCAGGGGCACATACCTACTGAACCACATCCCCAGCTCTTTTAATTTTCTGTTTTTTGTTTGTTTTTGTTTTGTTTTGTTTTGTTTTTTAAGAGACAGGTTCTCACCAAGTTGCTTAGGGCCTCACTAAGTTGCTGAGGCTGGCTTTGAACTTGTGATCCTCCTGCATCAGCCTCCTCTACCACGGATGTGCGCCACAACACCCAACAACTCCTACAGATTTTGAGAATAAAAATATTAGATTTTCATAGCATTTTATATGGCTGGTATGAATGTGATTTATTTAATAATAACATTTACCCTCTCAATAGGTACATCCCACTGTATAGGAGGGAAAGGTGAGGTGCTGAGAGGTCACATGACCTGCCCGAGGTCACATACCTGGTCAGTGGCAGTGCTAATCAGAATGTGAATAGTGGCTCTGGAGCTTCCCAGCTGGGCCCAACAGCTTCTGTATACGTTTCTTTCTTTCTTTTTTTTTAATTTTTATTAGTTATTGATGGACCTTTATTTGTTTGTTTGTTTATATGTGGTGCTGAGAATTGAACCCAGTGCCTCATACTAGGCAAGTTCTCTACCACTGAGCCCCAGCCCCACCCAGCTTCTGTATACGTCTAATTCTTCTCTAAGAACTCAAGTCACCATCTGGGATCATCTCTGACACTTGCCTCCCCATCTTCTTATTTGTGGGGGGGCAGGTACCAGGGATTGAACTCAGGGGCACCTCCCCAGCCCTATTTTGTATTTTATTTAGAGTTCACACCCGGCTTGCCTCCCCTTCTTAAAGTAGTTTGCATCCCCTGGTTCTTTTCCTGCTCCCATCCTGAGGGACAGGCTGCCGGCTGGCACAGCGGCTCCTGAATCCTTGTCCTGACCCAGCCGACTCAGTGATCTTTGCTGCCTTGAGGCAAAGCTGCCCCGACTCAGGTGCTCAGGACTCTTCCACTGACCCCGGGCAAAACTGGGTTCAGCTCCCGGTGCTGCGGGACAGGTTACTGGATCTGCTGTAGAGACGGACCATGAGCGTCTCCTCCCCTCAGAACAGAGGGTAACCTTCTCATAATGCCTGGAACCTGTGACGGTGGCCTTGTTTGACAAAAGGCCTTGGCAGATGGATGGATGAAGGACCTTGAGATGAGACGCTCATCTGGCTACCCAGGTGGGCCCTGAAGCCAGTGGCTGGTACCCGGCAGGAGTAGAGGAGACACACAGAGGAAGGTCAAGTGGGAAGAGGCAGAGTGATGTGGCCACAGAACCCCAGAGCGCCTGGAGCTGCCAGAACTCCAAGGGCTGGGGGTGCGGGGGGGGGGGGGCACCGCTGCAGCCTTGGTGGGGAATGTGGCCTTGATGACCCTCCATTTTTTGGAGAGGTACCAGGGATTGAACTCAGGGGCACTCGATCACTGAGCCACTTCCCAGCCCTATTTTGTATTTTATTTAGAGACAGGGTCTCACTGAGTTGCTTAGAGCCTCGCTTTTGCTGAGGCTGGCTTTGAACTCGCAATCCTCCTGCCTCAGCCTCTAGAGCTGCAGGGATCACAGGCATGCACCACCATGACTGGGGGATACTTCCATTTTTTGACTGGTTACCAGAACTGGGAGAGAATAAGTTTCTAAGACGTGAACTTTGAGGCAACTTGTTGCTGTGGAGATAGCTTCCCCTCACCTCCTGGCCTTGGCCTTGGGCAGTGCCATGCCCACCTTGCCCGGGTTGCTCTGAACACAGGTGGCACAAGCTTGGCGGGGTTGGAGGAAGGAGGGGGGTTCTGCACACCCCCAGCCCACACCCCTCAAGCCTTCCCTGACTTGCAAGCAGCCTGGCCTCAGTGAAGCTGCTAACTACTCGGAGCCTGGGCTTCCTCACTGGTACATAACCACCCCCCTAGGGTGCTCTAAGGCAGCAGTTCCCAAGCTCTCTGGTGTCAGGACTCCTTTATGCTCCTGAAAACTGTCGAAGAGGCTGGAGGGGTGCTCAGTGGTCCTGTGCCAAACAAACAAACAAAAAATCCCACCAAACTGAAGGCCCTAAAAAAGCTTTTGTTAGGTAGATTATAAATAAAGTATATATATATATATATATATATATATATATATATATATATATGTGTGTGTGTGTGTGTGTGTAATATATATATACATTTGTTCAAGGGATTGAATCCAGGGGCGCTCTACCACTGCGCTACATCCCGGCCCTTTTGATTTTGTATTTTGACAGGGTCTCACTAAATTGCTGAGGTTGGCCTCAAGCTTGTGATCCTCTTGCCTCAGCCTCCTGATTTGCTGTGATTATAGGCAGGCGCCACCATGTCCAGCATGTTTTATGTTTTCTACAAGTCTGTACCAGGTCCAGCTCATCAGGAGGGCACTGGACCCTTGGGTCTGCTCTGGCACCTGTCTGCTGGGCTCTGTTTGGTATTTATCTATATGAAGAACATCCAGCCTCAGGCAGTTATCTGCTGGGAAAAGGGACAACTTCATTGAGACCTTTGGCTACTGTGGACCCCTGGCAGGCCTCGAGCCACAATGAGAACCCATAGAATAAGGATTTAACAAGGTGATATCTGTATAGCACAAAATAATGCTTGGCACATGGTAAATATTATAATATATATAATATATATGTATATATACATATATATTATTTAGCACTACATATTTTTTAGCTAAATGTAAAGCAAATACTCAATAAGTTTTAAACTTTAAAACATTATCTTTTTTTTTTTTTTACATTTTTCAGTGCTGGGGATTGAACTAGGGTCTTGCATATACTTGTGATCTTGAGCCACACCCCCCCACACCTTTTAAAATTTTTTTCCTAATAAATATGTTCCAGGTAGGGGTGGGATTTATGGCTATAGGGTCTTGAGATTTCTGTTCTCAAGGACTAAGGACCCCACCGCCTGAGCGTGAGGGCTAATCTGTAGCCAGAGTGTCACAACTCCGGATTCTGAGAGCAATTTAGATGGGGGCCACATGGCGGGATTCCAGGGGCCCTTATATAACCAAGCGTGTTCAGAAAAGGCTCTCCCGGGTGGGTTGGGGTCTGATAGACAAGTGGACTTAGCAAGGCCCAAAGGAGAGGCGACTTGGGACAAGAAATCTCTGCTCTCAGATTCAAACCCCGGCCTCTCCTTCACGGTGGAGTGGTGTCTCAGTCACCAGGAGCCGCTAATGGTGTGGATCGGCGGGCGGGGCAGCCCCGTGGCCTTGGGGACGGAGGACCCCGCGCTCCACTGCCCCTCTCCGGGGTCAGTCGACTGGAGCGCGGCACGGCGCCGCCCGGTCCTGCTGGCGACGGAGCAGCGGGAGGGTCTGCGGCCGGGGTCCGCACTCTCTTTCCCGGCTGAGCCGCATCCCGGAGCCCACCTTCTGACCCTGCCGCTCCTCCCTAAGGCGGACGTCCCCCGCCCTCCAGCAGCGAGTCGGGCCCGAGACAGGCGGCGCCCGCCACCCGCTCTCCTCCGGGCCAGCCTCGACCCCTCCCGGCGGCGGGTGGAGGAGGAGCCAGGGCCGCGCCGGAGCAGCGAGCGGCGCGTCCGGGCGCGGGGGCTGCGGCGGGGCTGCGGTGGGGCGGCTTAGCGCGGGGAGGTTCGGGGAGGCTCGGCTCGGGGAGGCGCGGGAGGCGCCGGGAGGCGCGGGCCCGCGGCGCGCCCGGGGCGCAGGAGGGCGGCGCGCCCCTCGCCAGGCCGGGGCCGGGGCGGGGCTCGCGGCATCCCGAGGGGAGCGGCCACCGGGCCGCGCCCGCGCCGCCAAAGTTTCCCGGAGGGGCCGCGCCGCCCTTCCTCCGGGCGCGGGCGGGGGCTCGCCGCGGGACCAGTGCCTCCATTGCCCAACTCGCTTCCCAACTTGGGAGGCGCCGGCCTGCGCACGCGCGCGCCTTCCTCCTCCTCGTCCTCGTCCTCCTCCCGCGGGAGCCGGCCGCGCGGCGCCCAGACCCGCCGCCGGGCGCTGACCTCGGGCTCGCGCGGTCCCCGCCCGCGCCCGCCCGCGCCCGCCCGCGCCCCCGGGGCGCCCTGGCCGCTGGCCCCTGCGCGCGGCCGGCTCGGCGCGGGGTGGGCCCGGCCGGCGCTGCCCGCGATCGCCGCAAGTTTGCGAGTTGCACTAGTTGGCGGGCGGAGAGGCCCGAACAGCCATGGAGGAGGAGCGGGGGTCTCCGCTGGCGGCCGAGTCGGCGCTGGAGAAGAACGTGGCCGAGCTGACCGTCATGGACGTGTACGACATCGCGTCGCTCGTGGGCCATGAGTTCGAGCGGGTCATTGACCAGCACGGCTGCGAGGCCATCGCGCGCCTCATGCCCAAGGTCGTGAGGGTCCTGGAGATCCTGGAGGTGCTGGTCAGTCGCCACCACGTCGCTCCCGAGCTGGACGAGCTGCGCCTCGAGTTGGACCGCCTGCGCCTGGAGAGGATGGACCGCATCGAGAAGGAGCGCAAGCACCAGAAGGTGGGCAGTGGGGCTCTGGGACCCAAGGACCCTTCAGCCTCCGGCAACTGCAGGTGGCCGTGGATGTGTATGTGTGACAGGGACTAGAGTAAGGAAAGGCAATTTCCTCTCATTCTTAGTCTGAAAGGTCTGCCAGGAGCGTCCAGGGCTGAGGTTGTGGCAGGAAACATCCAGTCCGTCCTGGATGAGGGAGGGAGGCCCCTGACCCTCTCTGCCCAGTCATGGGCAGTCGGCATGTACCACCAGTAGGTTAAGAGCACTTCTCTAGAGTCAGACCTGAGTTCCAGTGCCACCTTCACCTGCTTAATAGCTCTGTGACCTTGGGTAAGTTGCTGAACCTCTCTGTGCTTTGTTGCCTCATCTGTCAAATAATAATCAAAATAGAATCCACCATTCTTATTAAATGTGATGATGTAGATAAAGTACTTGGATATTATTCTCTTCCTCAAATTAATAAGTCCCCTGCCCTTCAGTGTGACCCTAGAAGACCTTACACCAGTCACATCAGTCCCCTTTTTTATTCTACCTCAAGTTCCCCCAGAGCAGAGATGTGTGACCTCTTAACCACTAAGCCCTCAGCCTCTGGGCTTATATTTGCAACTTTCTTCCCAACGTTCCCTTAGTTTATTAACCTGTATTCCGAAGTGCTCTCCCTGCCTTGATTTTATCTTGAATCCTTACAGAACTCTATAAGGTAGGACTTCATTTTACAGATGAGGAAACAGAGGGTCAGAGTGCAGGAGGGATTTGTCCTGTTAGCCATGAGAGAGTCCCAGGCCTAGAGGAGGTAATCCCAGTGTCTCTTCCCCACTCTGCTGGAATTGGGGGAAGGGGATGCTCCAAGGTCTAGCCTCTGCCCTGGGAGCCAGAGCCTTTTTAAATCGGGGCCTCCTCACTGTCCAGACGAGGTGCCTGAGGAAAAGGAAGTGGGAGACATGTGGTTTCCTGCCCTAACCTCAGGCCTGGAGCGCCTGGCAGACCCTTCAGACCCAGAATGGGAGGAAACCGCCTTTCCCTGGAGGATCAGGATCTGGGTGCCAAGCAGGCTCTGGCTTGCTGAGTGGCCTCAGGAAGTTCAGTTGGCCTCTCTGAACCTCTCTGGCAGGCCATCATCTCATCTATGCTGTGATGAATCTGTGTGTTTTCAAGGAAAATGGCCACAGCTGGGTATGCTGCCTAGACCTGAGGGCAGGTCCGATGGTGGGTGAAGACCACTTGCTCCAGGGCTCACATGGGGATCCTATACCCTGGGGCCAGGAAGAAATTGGAGCTCCTAAGAGTTGGGAGACCAAGGTCACACTGGGAACTTGGACATGCCCAAGTCCTATAATTAATTTCAAGATTCCTAGGAGCAGGGACTTTGGAGCTAGATAGCCCGGTTTCAAATCCCAGCACTCACAGGCTATGTGATCGTGGGCAAATCCCCTAACCACTTTGTGCCTCAGTTTCCTCAGCTGTGAAGTGGGGTAACTATGGCCCCCAGCCTGTAATGGGGGTTAATATGCACAGAGGGCTAGGGCCGGAGCCTGCCCAGGAGGGGCTAGGCAGTGGGAGCTTCAGGTCTGAACCCTCGCCTAGGTGCCCACAGGATGATATCGGGGACCCCCGACCCCAGACACCTCTGCTCCTGCCCCGGCACCTCCTCCCTGCCAGGGCCTGGGAGGGAAGGGACTGGCAATCTCCCAGGAAGCTGGCTTTATTTTCAGGGCCTGCAGGGCTCAGCCCAGGTCCCACAGAAGTCCTGGGGCGCCTCCGCCCCCACCCCAGCTCTTTGGTTCTGCCCCTGCTGGCCTGGGAGGCAGGCACCCGGAGGTCACCAGGCCACCTGCACTTGTTGCTTCTGGAATGCGGTCAGCGCCCCAGCTCTGGACGTCCAGGGCCCAGGCTTGTTTGTAAACAGGGAGTCACAGCTGCCCGCCTGCCCAGCCCAGGCCTCTGCACTTGCTATTCTTGGAGGAGGGAGAGACTCCTCTGATGTTTCTTCTGCAGCTTTGATGATTCTTCAAGGTGCTGTTTCCACAAGAATCTTGTTAGTGAGCGTTGGTATGTCCTGTCCTCCCCCCTCCTCCTTTCCTTCCCTCCCCCGACCAGCCAGCCAGTCTGACTGCAGGGAAGCCTGCGCCCCTCCACCCACAGACACCTGGGCTCACTCAGTCAGCCCAGGCCACAGACCTGTTCTGTTCTCTCCTTACTCAGTCTGCAACACTGTTGATGGGCCACGGCGTGCAGGGTGCTCTCCTCAGTGATGCAGAGCAGAGAAAAACTGGGTCTCACGTCAGGCAGCAGGAGGGTGATGGGGATGACAGAAGACAGGGGAAACAGGCTGTCTTTAGAAAACAGTGGCTGTGTGGATGCAAAGGCACAGACATGAGCAATGCCTGCCCGCATTCAACACAGGTGTTTCTTGAGCACCTACTATGAGCCAGGCACTATTCTGGGCACTGGGGAGGCTGCAGTGACCATGACAGATGAAGGTTTAGTCTGGTGGCCCTGGCCTTTTAGCTCATAGAAATAGAATGTGGCAGCCAGGCAGGGGGGTGCACACCTGTGATCCCAGCAACTTGGGAAGCTGAGGCAGGAAGATTGCAAGTTGGAGGCCAGCCTTAGCAACTCAGTGAGGCCCTAAGCAACTCAGTGAGACCCTGTCTCAAAATAAAAATCAAAAGAACTGTGGAGGGGGGAGGCTCCGGCTTTAGCTCAGTGGCCGAGCACTTGCCTACCACGTGTGAGGCCCTGGGTTTGATCCTTAGCATCACATAAAAATAAATAAAATAAAAATAAAGGCAGGCTGTCCATCTGTAACTACCAGAAAAAAAAAAAAATGGTACTGGGGACAGAGCTTCATGGTGAAGCACCCCTGGGCTCCATCCTCAGTACCCAAAAAAAAAGAAAGACAGAATTTGGCAGACTGGGGATGTGGCTCCGTGGTAGAGCACTTGCCTGGCGTGCATGAGGCCCTGGGTTTGATTTTCAGCACCATTAAAACAAAAAAAACAGGAAAGAAAGAAGGATATAGACTGTGCCTGGCTGTGGTAGTAGAAAGAGACGAGGGGAAATTTGATGCACTTTCTAGAGCCTGGTGTATCTGGAGTATTTTCATGCCGACATATATTCAGTGTGAAAGTTGTTCATGAGATACTTCTGCGATCTTTTCTTCCTGTGCATTGTTGAAATCTGATGTGTGCTTGACCCCCTCTGCGTGTTTCAGTACAGATCAGCCACATCCCGAGGCTCCACGGCCACGGAGACTTGTGGATACTCTGTGGGATGGTACAATTCTAACCTGAGAAGGTGGATTTTTTTAAATTTTATTTTTGGTACTGTGGATGGAACCCAGGGGCACTTTACTAATCAGCTCCATTTCCAGCCCTTTTTATTTTGAGACAGGGTTTTACTAAGTTACCCTAGCTGGTCCCAAACCTGTGATCCTCCTGCCTTGGCCTCCTGAGTAGATGGGGTTATAGGAGAGTGGCACATGGCTAAGAAGTACATTTTTTTTTTAATATATATTTTTTTAGTTGTCAATGGACCTTTATTTATTTATTTTTATATTGTTCGGTGCTGAGATTCAAACCCAGCGCCTCACACATGCTAGGCAAGTGTTCTACCACTGAGCTATAACCCCAGCCCAGGAAGTAAATTTAAAAATAATAATAATCAGGTTGTGATTAAGTGACACAAAGAAAATAAAACAATGAGATGTGAAAGGGACTGGCTGGTGGAGGTATACCAGCTGGGGAGACAGGAAGTCTTCTCCAAGGAGGTGCCCTCTGAACTGAGATCCAAGTGCAATGTAGGAGCCAGCCACAGAGAGCTCTGGGGGAAGCTTCCAGGTTGAAGACATAGCAAGTGCCAAGGTCCTGAGGTAGGAGTGCATGTGGCTCTGTAAGGAGCACAAATAAGACCAGTGTGGAGGAACAGAGGGAGTGGAAAACGGGAATGGGAGAGAAGGTAGGGAGGTGCTGGCCCTTGTAGGCTGGAGAAGGGGTTTCAGGATGGTTGGGGCTGAGAGAAGTCCAAGAACTTCATGAGTCAGCAGTAACTCCCTGCAGCAGCCTTTTCCCGCTGTGTGAGGCAGGATTAAATTCCCCCTGGTCCGCCCAGAGGCAAGAACCTGCTCTCTACACTGACCTCAGCTCACTGGGAGAAGGGAGCAGAAGAGAAAGTTGACATCTGTCTTCATCTCCAGTGGGCAGGAGGAGGGTCTCAAAATAAAAGAGGCTGCGGATGTGGCTCAGTGGTAAAGCACCTCGGGTTCAATCCCTGGTACCACAAAATAAAAATAAACACCACAGCTAACCCCTCCCCCAAAAAACCAGCCTAAATTTATTATGCGCTGCTGGACTGAGCCATCTTATGAACACACGTGGATACAATGTGATACAGTGTTGTGGATCCCCTTGATACTGTCCATGTGGATAGTTCTGGATACAGTTCTGCAGTGGGGAAGTCAGGATTGGGCCTCACTGGGTTGAGATCCAGGAGTCCGGGCCCAGGGCGCGGCTCAGGGGTAGAGCACAAGGTTAGCCCACGCCAGGCCTGGGTTTGATCCCCGGCACCACACGCACAAAAAAATGATGATGATGATAAAGTAAAACCAAGGCATAAGAAGGCTGCCTTCCTCCGGGAGGCTCTAGAGGCCAATTCTCTCCTTTACCATGTCCAGTCTCAGGACCCCGGCTGCACGCACCCCATCGTCACAGCCAGCATGGCAGCATCTTCTGATCTAACTTAGATCTCTGTTTCGAGGCTGTGTGGCCTCTAACTCTGACCCCGGCTCCCCTTCCTCCCTCTTATGAGGACCCTGTGATTTCACAGGCCCACTCTGATCACGCAGGACCATCCCCCCAATCCCAAGACCCTTAACTTTGCCCGGCACAGTGGCGCCCACCTGTAATCCCAGTGGCTCAGGAGGCTGAGGCAGGAGGATCGCAAGTTCAAAGCCAGCCTCAGCAACTTAGTGAGGCCCTAAGCAACCTAGCGAGACCCTGTCTCTAAATAAATATAAAAAGGGCTGGGGATGTGGCTCAGTGGTGAAGTGTAGTTATCCCCTCTTGTCTCCCCAGTGCCAAGGCTTTCCGAGGGAGGAGATGGGACTGGGGAGCGCGTCTGGGCCTTGCATGGCTTGTGGCCGATGGCAGGGGGAGCAGGGTCAGCAGGACCTGCTGGGGCAAGGCACTGTTTCCAGCCTCTGCAGGGAGTGACCACTTAATCCTCACAAGAACCTGTCTCCTGGGCACCCAAGCGTTAGATTGCCCACGACCAGCTAGTGAGTAGCAGAAACAGGACTCAAACTTGAGCGACAGACCCCAGGATCTGAGCCCCTAACCTCACTTGCATCTGACAGCTGCAAGGGTGCTTTGTGACTAGTTTATGCTTTTACCAGACTCCTCTTTTTTGAAGCTTTATTGAGTGTGATTCACATACAACTCACCTATTGAAAGTGCACCGCTCAGAGGTCGCCAGTGTATTCAGAGCTGTGCACGTCATTACAGTCAATTTTAGAACATTTTCATCACCGCAAAAAGAAAACACACACCCATGACAGTCACTCCTCGTCCTGCATCCCCAGAGCTGTGGCGCTAGAAGCCACCAATGTGCCTTCTGACTTTGGGGATCTACTTATTCTGGACATTTCATAGAAATAAGACCATGAAAGCCTATTGTGGTGGCCCACACCTGTAATCCCAGCACCTTGGGAGGCTGAGGCAGGAGGATTGCAAGTTTGAGGCCAGCCTCAGCAACTTGGCAAAACCCTGTCTCAAAAAGCAAAAGGAGCTGGGGATGTGACTCATGATATAGTGCCCCTGGGGTCAGTCCCCAGTATCAAAAGAACAGAAAGGACATGAGCTCGTGTAGCACGAGCCTGTTTGTGTCCATGCAGTATTTCACGTTTGAATACACCCCATTTTTTTTTAACGTGCTCATCAGTTGACGGACAGAGGTTGTTTCTACCTCAGGCTGCCACACACGTCCACACCCACGTGTGTTGGTGTGGACGTGTGTCTTCGTGGCTCCTGGGGCGGCTGGGGCCCCTCTATGTTGGCCGCGCTGGGAGCAGCCAAGCCACTCAACCAACTGAGTGCTTGCTATTCCTGTCCCATCAGCCACGCGTCTGAGCTCCCATTTCACATCCTTGTTACCATTTGCGATTATCTGTGGTTTTGGTTACAGTCATCCACAAAATACTCTTTTTGTTGTTATTTGAGGTTCTGGGGATTGAACTCGGTCACTTTACTGTTGAGCCACATCCCCAGCCCTTTTATATTTTTTTATGTGTGTGTGTCTACTTTTTTAATGAATTTTTTTAATTGTAGATGGACACAATTCCTTTATTTTATTTATTTATTTTTATGGGATACTTAGAATCAAACCCAGCCCCTCACGCTTGCTAGGCAAGCTCTCTACCACTGAGCCACACCCCAGCCCCCATAGTTTAAGACAGTAACACAGAATATTCTCTGATTTGTGGAGCCCGATGTATGCCTGCTAAGTTGCAGAGGCTGGCCTCTAACTGTGATCCTCTTGCCTCAGCCTCCTGAGTAGCTGGGATACAGGCACATGCAGTTGTGCCCAGCCACAGAATCCTTTTAATGGACTGATCTTGTTTCTCCTCACATCTGCCTGTATGTTTTGGTTCCCAAATGAGAGAATTGGTGCCTCTGAGTGGCTTATTGAGTTGCTCCAGAGGCCTGAAGAGAAACTCTGGGCCAGTGGCCCTGGCAGCCTGGGCCTTCCCAGGGTCTTCCCCGCTCCCAGAGGTGGTTGGGACCTGTGGCCCCGGGTGATCACTGAAGAGCAGTTCCAGCTGGGCCCAGGGGCCAGGTGCCTGTGGGGTGGCTGTGGCCTTTCCCATCCTTCTGCCCAAGGCCTGGGTCTCATGGGGATTGGGGTGGCCCAGAATCCCAGCCACCTGAGATTCTCCCTGTGGGCAGTGGGGGTAAGGCCACTGCCCTGGGCATGCTGTGACCACACCGCCGTCCCTGCCCTGGCAGGAGCTGGAGCTGGTGGAGGACGTGTGGCGGGGGGAGGCGCAGGACCTGCTGTCCCAGATCGCCCAGCTGCAGGAGGAGAACAAGCAGCTCATGACCAACCTCTCCCACAAGGACGTCAGCTTCTCCGAGGAGGAGTTCCAGAAGCATGAAGGTAAGAGGGCCGCCCAGGCGAGGGGGACTGTCCTGCGGCTTTGCTGCCCGCGTCCTGGTGCCACATTGACTCTCACCCCTGCTCTGCGAGAAGCTGGGGAGCCTGGGTTGGCAGATGGTGACACAGGTTTGCTTAGCAGGCTGCCCCCGGTTCCCTCCCTGCCCTGGGACACCTTAGACAGGACAGAGACCCTGCCCTCCTGAAGGAGGAGATGGTTGATGAGCACGTGGACAGACAATGGCTTGATTCCAGAGGCCAGCAGCACCATAGAGGAGCTGACCAGGGTGCACGGTAGTGACCTGAGGCTTCTTTAGAGACGGAGGCTGTCACAGTTGAGCCTAGTGAGGTGACAGTGTGAGCCCTGCAAGTACCTCGCAAGAAGCAAGTAGCACAGAGGCCCCGGGGCAAGATTGAGAGACCCAGGAGGCTGGGGTGGGGTACAAGAAGACCCAGGCCAGGGTGGCTGAAGATGAGGTCAGGGCCAGCAGGGGTCAGATCACACGGCCCCTTAGACAAAGCTGTGGTCTCTGGAAAGAGATTTGAGGCTCTTATAGGGGGCAACTAGGGACAGCAGCCCAGGCCTGACTGGCACTGGGTCCACTCCACTGTCACATCCTATGAACAGCTACCCAGAACCTTCACGCCAGCCCTCTGCTGCTGTTGGGATACAAGGACGGACAATGGGTCTGAGCTGGGCCTCCTAAGCCCCCTCTGTCCTGTACTGGCCAACAGCTCTTCCCCTGCAAATCAGAGCTACCTCTGACTTCCACCTTGAGGGATCTCAGAATCATCTCTTTAGCCTGAGAAAACCCCTGGGGTCAGCCGGGCACAGGTCTGTAATCCCAGCTGTTTGGGAGGCTGAGACAGAAGGATCAAAATTTCAAGGCCAGCTTCAGCAACTTAGTGGGATCCTAAGCAACTAGTAAGACCCTGTCTCAAAATAAAAGATAAAAGGAGCTGGGGATACAGCTCAGTGGTGAATGCCCCTGGGTTCGATCCCCAGTACCAAAAATGTGTGGTGGCTCAGTGGTGGAGTACATGCCTGGCGTGGGTGAGGTCCTAGGTTTCGTCCCCAGTGACACACACACAAAGACATGGATTTTATTAGTTACAGAGATTGAGTAAAATGCTGGGAAATGACACTCCAAGGGAAAGCCGTGGAGCGGTATGAATGTAAGAAAAATTTATTTGGGAGCTGGGGTTGTGGCTCAGTGATAGAGTGCTTGCCTTGCACAGGTGAGGCACTGGGTTCCATCCTCAGCACCACATAAAAATAAATCAATAAAATAAAGGTATTTGTCCATCTACAATTAAAAAAAGAAAAGGAAAATGTATTTTAAGGCAAAAACACTATTAAAGGGTTACTTCAATGATGATAAAAAATTCAGTGTTCTAGGACGATCTGGTGATTTCCAAATTTGTATGCACTTAATAATTCATCCTAAAAGCATATTTTTAGCCAGGTATGGTGGCTGTGCCTGTAATCCCAGCTTCTTAGGAGGCTGAAACAGCAGGATCACAAGTTCAGAGCCAGCCTTAGCAATTTAAAGAGACCCTAAGCAACCTATTGAGACCCTGTCTCAAAATAACTGGGACTGGGGCTCAGCAGTAGCACGCTTGCCTGGCACGTGGGAGGCACTGGGTTCGATTCTCAGCACCACATATAAACAAATAAAATAAAAGTCTATCAACAAGATATAGATAAATTAAATACAAGCAGTCAAATTAATATATTTTTTAAAGAAATAAAAATAAAAAAGGATTGGGGATGTGGCTCAGTAGTTAAGCAATCCTGGGTTCAATTCCCAGAAACAAAAAATATATATGCACATACCTACATACATATCCATATTTTAAAAGTGGACAGAAGTATGTCCAAAGCAGGCTGATTCAGTTCTCAGATCCGCAGGCAGGTGCCTCAGCAGGGGATGCTTGGCCATGCGGGAACTAAGTTGTACTTATCCAAGGGACCTGATGCAATATTCTTGCCTATGACATTTCTGAGGGCACACAGAGGCCTCTGCCGATGACCTGGGAACTGTCCTGCCTGCCCCCCTGAAGCTGCAGAGGCTCAAGGGCCTGGGCCAGGGGCCTGAAAGCATAGTTCTGAGCTGCCCCTCAGCTGAGTTCCATCTGCTGCAGCATGGGGAGCTTCGCTCTGTCCCCACAGCCTCCTGTCCCTGTGGCCTCCTGTTCCCTTCTGGGCTTGTCAGGAAGCAGCTGACATGTGCAATCTGAGGTGCTCCTATGTGGCTCCTGCCAGGCTGCAGCCATGAGTAGAGAGGCTGTAGAGAGGTCGTGGAGAGGCCGAGAGGCTGTGCAGGTGCCGGGCAGGTGGTCTCCCTCCTCCTGCTGAAGTCCCTCAGAGAAGGAACGGGGAGACCATCGGGCTGCACCTTGTGCCAGCTGTGACTCTGGGCAGAGGCTTGGGCACGCTGATGATTTCGGGGTGCAGCTGTTTGAATCCTGGGGAGGTGGGGGGTTCTCAGGGGAGCCTTCCAGGCAGCCAGCATGGCTTTCTCAGCTCCTAGCATGGTGCGCCCCATTTCTCGGAGCTACCTGGGGGGTCTCCTCTCTCCCACTTTCTGGAAGCATCCAGATGATAGAACACTTCATTCCTGTGATCTCAGCTTCTCAAGAGGCTGAGGCAGGAGGATTGCAAGTTCAGGACCAGCCTGGGTAACTTAGTGAGACCCTGTCTCAAAACAGGCTGGGGATGTAGCTCAGTGGTGGAACACCTGGGGCTCAGTTTCCACTGTAAAAAAAACAAGAAAGTTATTTCTTAGCCGGGCACAGTGGTGCAGACCTGTAGTCCCAGCTTCTCAGGAGGCTGAGGCAGGAGGAGGATCACCAACTCAAAGCCAGCCTCAGCAATTTAGCGAGGCCCTAAGCAACTCAGTGACACCCTGTCTCTAAATAAAATACAAGAAAGGGCTGGGGATGTGGCTCAGTGGTTAAGCACCCCTGGGTTCCATCCCCAGTACCAAAAAAGAAAAAAGAAAGCACTTCTTTGCCTGTTTTTGGAATCCATCTTGTCATTTAGAAAGCAGGGAGTAGAAATGACTCGTCAGCACCCAGGGAGTGAATTACAGATCTCCAAGCCATTGGACCCGGGAGACAAGTGTGAAGAGACACTCTCTGGTCTGCAGAAAGTCCTTGGGCTGTGCAGGAACAGCTTAGGCGTTGGGAGTGGAGGAAAACCACCAGCGCAGGCGTCTCTGCCAAGCAGTAGGATTAGTTCTTGGGATTTTTCTCATCGGCACATGAGAGAAAAGTGAAAGGGAACAGGAGAAGGGAATTTCAATATCATATTCCGTTAAACCCCGCAGATCCCAAACACTGCCCTGCAACGCGAATCAACGTGAAGATGATACGTGGGGTGTTTTGCATTTTTTTTTCCTATTAAGTCTTGTTGGGGGGGGGGAGCAGAGTGGTTGTGAAAATACGTGCAACATAAAGTCTACCGCCTTGGCCGCTGCCAAGTGCATGGCAATGAGCACACTCGGAGCACTTGCTGCCATTGCCACCGTCAGTCACCCTCTGAGTCTTCATCTCCCAACACTGAGACTCCGCACCACGCAGGTGTGGAGGCTTCTGACCCGACTCCAGTCCCAGTCCCGCCTCTACCGCCTGGGTCATTTGGGGAAGGTCACTTACTAGTCCAACCTTCAAGTTATTTCCAGGTTCAGGGCTCAGTAAAAGATGTCCCCAAGGGCGTCTTTTCCTCCCCGTTGAACCAAGTCTCGTTCAGTATGAACTTCAGCTCAGTGAAAATCGCCCCTCTCTGGGCCTTTCTGTGACGTCTGCTGTCTCCAGGGGCTGCTGTGACCCATTGCTGCAGGAGACTGGGTGCTTATGACAGCAACACGTGTCCCCTCACAGCTCTGCAGGCAAGGGTCCAAAATCTGTGTGCCAGCAGGGCCAAGGGCTCTGAGGGGAGATGGCTCTGTTTCAGTCAGCTTTTCCTTGCTGGACCTGGGAAGGACAAGGCCAAGGAGGAGAAGTTTACTTTGGCCCATGGTTTCAGTCTGTGATCTGCGAACGCCACAGCTAGGGCCGAGGTCAGGCAGAGCACCTCGGTGCAAGGACGTTGTAGTGGAAAGCTGCTCAGGGCTTGGCAACCAGGACGCAGAGAGAGCTCGGCTCACTGGTGACAAAACATAGACCCCCCAAGGCACACCCCAGTGACCTGCTCCTCCAGCCACACCCTGCTGCCTACGGTTAGCACCCACTTCATCCCTATCAGTGGATGGGAGGCTCCTGGGGTTGAACCCAGGGTGCTCAACCACGAGCCCCATCCCCAGCTCTTTTCATCTTGTTATTTTGAGACGGCGCCTCACAGACTTGCTTAGGGTCTCACTATATTGCTGAGTCTGGCTTTGAACTTGGGATCTTCCTGCCTTAGCCTTAAGTTGCTGGGATTATAGGTGTGCGCCATCATGCCCAATAGGTGAAGCTCTCTTAACCCAATGATGTCACCTCTGACACACAGGAGTGTTTTGGGGACACCTCAAATCCAAACCATAGCACCTTTTGGCCCCTTTCAGCTCACCTCAGGCCTCTTGCCCTGTAGCATTGTCACTGGAATCTCTGCCTCCTGCTCCTGTGGCCGCCTCCTCTGGGTCTGTCTGATGTCCACCCCTTTCTCTTTTAAGGACATCAGTCACTGGGTTTAGGGTCCACCTCCCCTCATCTACCATGAGTTCCTCTTAGCTAACTGCATCTCCAGAGATTCTATTTCTTTTTTTTTTTTTCTTTCTTTTCTTTTTGGGGTGCTGGGGATGAACCCAGCATGCATGCTAGGTAGGCGCTCTACCACTGAGCCACATTGCCAGCCCCCTATTTCCAAGTAAGGCCACATGCTGAGGTTCCAGGTGGCATGACTGGGGGACCCTGTTCTACCCAGGATATTTACAGAGGAGCTCGGGCCCTAAGACCTTGAGAGTGGGAAGGCAGTGTGGTTGCAGTAGTGTCAACGCAGGCAGAGACCCTGGAGGGTGGCCTGGTCCCTGGGGACCCTGGAACATGTGTCACACCTCACAGCTGTCCTGCTGTCCCTGGGAGATCCAAGCACCAGTACCATCCCCACAAGCTCATAGATCAGGAACAGGCAAAGGCCATCCTCCTCGTCCCCACATCAAAGGTGGCTTCTGGCGTGGTGCTGGGGGCCTGGCTGCAGCCTTCCCATGGCTGGGAAGTGAGGGCCTCCTGCCTCAGCCTCCGGAGTTGCTGGGATTGCAGGCTGCCGTGCCTGAGGCCACAGCTAACCCACGCACCCCACCATCGCTGGGGCTTCAGTTACATCTAGATTTGGGCTACTGTGAACAAAGCTGCCGAGACATCTTCTGAGCAGGTCTTATTCTGCGCGGTCAGGTCGTCACTTGCCATCTTCACTCACAAGTCTGCCTGTCTGTCTGCAGCCTACTGCGCTCAGGTACACTGTCCGTCAGCCGAGCGCCTGCTGACCTACGCATGCTCACCTGCGGGGCGGGGTCCAGGGTGCACCTGCCTTGTGTAACCCGGGCATGTGCTGAGATGCGTGCTGGGCGCTCCCCATGACTTTCTTGTACATTGTTAGGGACGTGGCGAGTGGAGGAACCCTTAGGGAACCTCAGAGGTGTTGAGGGCACTCTCAAGTCCGCAGCCCATGCACGGAGCAACCTCAGGGTCCAGCTGAGCTTTCTGCACCTTGGGGCCTCCCAGTCCCTGCCCTTGGGGTCTTTCCTCCCTGACTGTCCCCTCCTGGCCTCCTTGGCCCGGCCCACTGCCCTGGCCCTCTGGCCTCTGGTCTGGGCTTGTTCTGGCTCAAGCCTGCATCTCCTGGTGGCCTCTACTTTGCAGCCTGGTGCTGCCCTTGGACTCCGGGTACCACTTCCAGTCCTGGGCCTGCCCACCTGCTGGTGCCTGCCGGGGACATAGCCTCATCACCTGGCCTCTTTCTTTGCTGTCCTCTGGGCTCAGTATAAATGTGCCTGGCCCCAGAGGCGGCTTCCCACACCCACAGTCCACGCTGGGTCTCTGTGTTACTTGTTCTTGTCTGCCTGATATCTGGAAGCCCGTGAGAGCAAAGCCCAGTCTCACTGTCGACCGTGGTGTCCCCTTGACTAGCTCAGTATCACGTACGCAGCAGGTGCTCAGTGAGTAGTTGAAGGATGGACATCTGGTGTGCGTGTGTGCATGTACAGAAAGCTGAGCGCCACTCCCAGCAGGTGGTCTTGTCTGGGAGAGTGGACTGGCGTCTGGCCCTGGTGACACGGTCTGCTGACCTCACGGGAGCCTCTGAGTCTGGGCGAGGACAAGAAGACCAGGGTTTGAGTGCCAACTCTGCAAGTTCCTGGCTGAGCAACCCTGAACCTTGGGCCTCAGTTTTCCATACCTGCAAAATGAGGCCAGTAAGGTCCAGGTATCCTTCCCGGGCCTCTCAGGAAGAAGTTGCATTTTGGGATCCTGGAGGAGGAATCTGCCCCCATTCCCTGGCAGCCTTGAGTGCAGACCCCATGTGAAGCCTGGAATGGCAAGACGGCTCCCCTTCAGGAATGTCACTCTTTGCAATCCTGGGCTCTGTGGGACAGAACCTGACCCACCTAGTCTGGTGACCGGGTGTCACACACTGTAATACATACACCTGGGAGGATGGTCATTGTTGTGGGTGAAACCTGCTGGGGAATATCCCTGCTGGGAGAGAGGAGGTCAGTGGGAAGACCTGGATGGGACCGAGCTACCAAGTTTGCAGATCATTTGTTACAGCAGCTGCAGGAAACTCATACAGCCCCTGTCCTTACCGTTCAGCAAACTCACCATGTAGCTTGATGGGCACCTGCTATCTGCAGGCACCGTGGAGGCCTGGGCAGTGTGACAGGGAGGGGTCAGCTGAAGCCTTGTCCTCCTGTGGCCCATGGTCTGCCTGGGACTGGGGCAGGGTGGGGGTGAATGGACTGCGAGGAAGCCAGCCCTGGGTGGCAGCCCCTGACCTCCCACTGGTGCCAGGCGGCAGATGATGCAGGTCCTTGGTGTCACTTGGTCCAGCCTCTCAGCAGCCCTGGGGGAGGTACAGCCACCTCCCCACTTTATAGATAAGGAAACTGAGGCTTAAAGAGCAGAGCCCAGAGCCACACGTCCATCAGGTAGGACGGCCAGCCCTGGAGCCAGGGCCTGGGGGGTCTCTGCTCTGCCACCCTCCCTTCAGTGACAGAATTAGGGGAGTTGTAAAAAGTGCTGAAAGGTGAAGCGAGAGAAGGGGGGACTGCGGGGGTGGTGGTGGCTTGGCAGGGGTCAGGGAGGGAGCCTGTGTGCAGAGGTGGCTGGATGGAGGCCCACCTGGAGGCTGCAGGGGAGGTCGGGAGTTCTGGGCAGAGGGGACAGGAGGGCAAAGGCCCTGAGGCGGATGGGCTGGGAGGGGTGGGGACAGAGCAGATGTTGGCGGTCGGCTGCAGCTGGTGTGAGGCTGGGGGAGGCCGGGTCTGGGTGGAGGAGCTGCTGGGCGGCCACCCAAGGGGGCAGGTGGAGTCACGGGCTGGTGTCCCCACCAGGCATGTCGGAGCGGGAGCGGCAGGTGATGAAGAAGCTGAAGGAGGTGGTGGACAAGCAGCGTGACGAGATCCGGGCCAAGGACAGGGAGCTGGGCCTCAAGAACGAGGACGTGGAGGCTGTGAGTGGCGGGCAGACCTCCTCCCGAGTGCTGGCTCCAGCCAGAGACTGGACGCTCCACTCGGGAGCTTCTCATCTCGTTCTCTGGGCTCCGAAGGGTGGGCATCCTCGGAGGCTCGTCCTCGAATCAGGGCTGGCGGAGGAGCCTCAGCAGAGTCTCCACTGCAGGCGCAGGAGTCCCCTTTGCTGTGACCCTGGGGCTTCCTCCAGCCCACCGCTCTGTTCCCCTGTGAGGCCAGGCCCCACAGGCCCCATGCTGCCCCAGAAACCTGCAGTGTCTCTGCCTGAATCAAAAATGATGCCGCTTTATTGAGGCCTGTTATTTCCATCTGCTGGGAAATTGTTGTGATGCATTGATTCTAACAAGACACTTGGCTTCCATCTGCCATAAAGTGACTTCAGTAAGTGTACTAATGCCCATCTCTGCTGTCAACAGAGTCATAAGAACATGAACAACTTCCAAGCAAGTAAAGATCTGTAATATGCCTGGTGTACCTGAAGGAGATTTGCCCCCATGCAGTGTCCATCCTGAGCCACCGTACCTGGCAGCCCTACACAATGATCTCCCTCTTTCTACAGCTACAACAGCAGCAGACTCGGCTGATGAAGATCAACCACGACCTCCGACACCGGGTCACCGTGGTGGAGGCCCAGGGGAAGGCCTTGATCGAACAGAAGGTGGAGCTGGAGGCAGATCTGCAGACTAAGGAGCAGGAGATGGGCAGCCTAAGGGCAGAACTTGGGAAGCTTCGAGAAAGGCTACAGGGAGAGTTCAGCCAGAACGGGGAGGAGGAGCCAGAGGTAAGCAGAAGCTGGTGCGGAGGTGTACGGGAGGGTGAGTCTGAGCTGCTGGAGGCAGGCAGAGTTGCCTTGTTTTCTTCATTGTACTTAAGACAATGGGAGGAACAGAGAGAACCAGCTACTGGCCTGAAGACACACAGCAGAACAGAGGCAGAGCTGGGCCTAGAACTCCCAGCATTCCAGCCCAGGGTGTTCAGGTCAGTGGTGGTCACCAGGCACCTGCCTTGCTTGTTCATTCAAATAATTGGCATCCATGTGGCAGACACGAGGGAGGACACATAGGCCAAACACAGACCCTGTCCCTGTCCTCGTGGAGCCCACAGTTGAGCAGGGGAGACAGACATTGGCCAGGGTCATACACCATGTGACCCAGCAATGCCTTCCAGACACACCTGGAGAGCTGCAAATGAGCGTCCACATGGAGACCCGCTCACAGATGTTCATAGCAGTGTGATCCTTCAGTGGACTAATGGGCCTGTCCATTCAGGAGGACTCAGCCCTAGAGCCCGAAGCCAGGGCCTGTGATCCCAGTGACTGGGGAGGCTGAGACAGGAGGACCATGAGTTCAAAGCCAGCCTCAGAAACTTAGGCCCTAAGCAACTCAGTGAGACCCTGTCTCTAAATAAAATACAAAACAGGGCTGGGGACGTGGCTCAGTGGTTGGTTGAGTGCCCCTGAGCTCCATCCTTTACCAAAAAAAAGGCAGGCTAGGGTGGGTGGTGTGCAGGGTGGGAGAGACAGGGAGGCTGAGGGAGGTTGGCTGAATGAGGTCGGAGAGGCCTGTGGGGCCAGGCGGGGCCCCAGCAGCCACCTGGGCTGGGGAGAGGACTCCCAGTGGTGAGGGGTGTCTTAGCTGGGGTCCCTCACAGCACAGCTTGGGCGCAGGACTTGGCTGGATGTGATCCCGTTAGGGGAGTAAGACAGGAAGGAGGACAGGGAATTGGAGGGTGTGGCATGGAGGTCACACCCCAGGCCTGGGAGCTCTAGGAAGCACTTAGAGCACCTCTCAGAACTGGCTTTCAGCAGGTTGGTCCCCAGGTGGCTAAGGGTGGCCCGAGATCATGACCTCCCCCACATCCTGAGCAGGTCCTGGGGCAGAAATGGAGAGGCAGACCACATGTGCCTACGCTGCGCCCTGAGTGCGTGGAGGGGACTGTCAGGTAGGCCCAGGTGAGGTGGGCACTAGCATGTCCAGCACACAGTGAGCCCCAGGGTGTGCCAGGAGCACAGGACAGGACAGCTGACCGCGGGTGGTTCTGGGGGCTTCGTGAGGAGCCTCCTCAAGCTGGAGGCCAGAGCCCGTGCCAAGGTCTACCGCGGGAAGTGCGGGAGGTGGTTTGCTGCTTGAGAAGAGCAGAGTGAACCGGGGAGTGGAGCTGCCCTCCCCTCCTGCAGAGGTTTGTTGCTGCTCAGGGTTTGCAGTCACACCCAGGCACCTGGCCACAGTGGGCTGGGTCAGGGGGGTCGAGACCCAGGGCAGCCATTGAGTAGCCTGTGCCTGGGGCAGGTTCCTGATCTGTGGTCCCAGGGCCTTGTGCTCGCTAGGCCACCAAGCTCCACCCCACGTCCCAGCCCTTTTTGTTTAGAGACAGAGTCTTGCTAACTTGCCAGGCTGGCTTCAAGCTTGTGGTCCTCTTGCCCCAACCTCCTGAATAGCTGAGAGTGCAGGTGTGGCCACTACACACAGGCTTCAGGGAAGTCTGTAAAGAAACAGGTTAGGGCTCCTGCTTTTAGCTAAATGTGACATAAATCTAAATTAAATGGTGGCCGTGATCCGGGCGGGCAGAAGGTGAGAGCAGGACGAGCTCGAGCTGTGACAGCGATGAAGGGAAGGAAGCCAGCGCCGGGACAGGGCCACAGGCCACGCTCTGGGTGGCCCTGCCCACTGTGGGTCCCTCAGAGCTCAGGCCTGTCTCCTGGCCAGGCGGTCCTGGTCCAAACCGTGTCCCGAGGACACCACCCGGGCCACAGCCACGAGGCTCCTGGCCCCGCCCCAGATCTCTGGCGAGGAGGATAGGACAGGGACATTCTACACCTCCCAGTGCCTGCTGGTTTTGGCTTCCCTTTCTGGCAGCCGAGGGGTGGGGAGTGGGGGGCAGGGACAGCAGCAGGCTGTAGCATTCACTCCAGCTCCGACCCTTGTCCCTGGGAGCTCTGCTGTGTTGAAGTTGTCAGTCGTTGCAGGAGCCCAGGGCTCCGTGGCCTCACCGCCGGCTCTGTGTGGCCTCTCTAGGGTGGTCAGTGGCCAGCGTCCTCCATGGACAGATGAGCAGAGTGACCCGGATGGGATCCAGTAGGCTCACCCCAGCAGCGGGGAGGGAAGATGGTGGCGCAGGAAGTGGGGAGGCAGGGGAGGGCAGCGGCCTCAGGGCAGCACTGGGCCTAGGGCGCCTCCCCAGGGTTCTGGCCTCATGGGGTGGGTGGGTTTCCAGTGGAATGTGGGGCAGGCTGTAGCAGGCAGGGGGACTGCGTGAGCCGGCTGGAGAAAGCGGCATGTGACTGGGGTGGGGCCCATCCTGGAGCACATCTGGGGTGGGAGGTGGGCGCTGTGGGGGATCCCAGAGCCAGGACTCTTCTGGTTTTCCCCAATTCCCATGATCCCCTCGAAGCTGCCTCAATGCTACTCAGTGTGAGCTGCAGGCGACTCGCCCCACTGCGTGTTTTCACATCCTCCTTGCTGAGGTGTGACCGTGCGCCCGCCGCACAGTTCAGCCGTCTAAGGTATCCAGTTCAGCCGGCTGCGGCATGTCTGTAATCCCACTAGCCAAGAGGCTGAGGCAGGAGGATTGCAAGTTTGAGGTCAGCCTCAGTGACTTAGTGAGGCCCTCAGCAACTTTGAGACACTGTCTCAAAATAACAAAATAAAAACGGCTGGGGGTGTAGCTCAGTGGTAGAGCCCTCCTGGGTTCAGTCCTCAGAACTGCAAAATAGGAAGAATAATAAATAAGTAAAATTTAAGACTGGTGTGTGGCTTGTGGCAGAGCCGGTGCCTGGACTCAGGTGACAGTCCTGTGGGTGTTAATGGCTCACTGCACAGTGTGGACAATAGCTCTGGGCTGTTTCTGTCACCCAGAGAGGAGACCCCAGGAGCAGCAGGCCCTGCCCCTCTGCCTCCAACCCTGTGCTGGCATCTCCTGTGGGCGGAATCCAGCTTCCTCAGAGGTGTCCTTGAGAGCGGAGGTGGGCTCCTTGCAGAGGTCCCACAGGACAGCTCCACAGGAGACGCAAGTCCACCCTGCCCTCTCGGATTCGCCACCTACCAGTTTTGATTGCTAACTGTCCTCTCTAAAAACAGGGCCTGGTGGCTGGTGTGCGAAACAGGGTTTGAAGGGGTCTAGCCTGGAAGGCACAGGGGTCCAGAGTGTGACCAGAGCACCATCGTCCCCTCTGCTGGGCCAGGGACTGCTCTGAAGTACGTTCATGGGCACCTCCGCAGCCTGGCAGCGGGAACACTCCTGGGAGGCCAGGCCTCTGAACGGAGGCCCTAATCCAAGGTGCTGCCTCCTGGAGGCCCCTGGACAGGCCCCGCTGGCCAGCCGTCCCCTGGGCCTCCCTGTAAAGCAGCTGAAGCCTCTAGGTGTCTCTATCCCTCTAGCTGTACCCAGAGAGCCTCCAGGGACCCGTGAACAAGGCAGAGGCCTGGCTTATCCAAGATAAGCAGAGCCACCTCTGTGGTGCCTCGTGGGATAAGCCTAGAAGGGCGCGGGCTAGCCCGATTGCCATCGTGGGAAGAGCCTCTCAGGCTCTGGTCAGGACAGGGCTGCCCACGGTGCTGGGGTCACCACCTGGGCCTCTGGAAAAGCGGAGCCCCAGGCCTGCCTCCCCCGCGCTGGCCACCTCGGTGCCCAAGCCAGGGCCTGTGCACCTGGCTGGGGATCCCCTTGACATTCGGGGGGTCAGGGCCTCATCCCCTCAAAACTGCCTTCTGTGCTGCGGTGAGCTCAGACCCTCTGTGCCCCTGGCATGTGTAGCGGGGACCTGGTCATCAGTGCTAAGGGAAATGAAGGCCGGTGAGGAGCTGGTGGCTTGCACGAAGCCCTCCTGGGTGCTGGGGAGTGGACAGTCCCTCGAAAGGCTCTGTCCCTGCCCCATGGGCCTCCAGAGACAGGGCAGGCCCTATGTCTCCTGGGGAGGGAGGAGCTGGAGCCTTGGCGCAGTGTCCACGCTGCAAAGGAAAAAGGGAGGCTAAGGGTCAGCCGCTGCTCCTCACCAGTCCAGGGTGGCTCTGGGCAGCTGAGCCAGGGTGGCCGGGTCCTCGGATGCTTTTTCTAAAAGGAAGTCCCAAACCCCGACTTCAGCGTGCAATCTCCTGACCCTTCACCTTTGGTAACTGGCTCGATCGTCCTAGAATACAGCGAGAGCCCCACCAAGCAGTGGGGGTCTGGAGGCCCCCGGTTTGAGATCTCTGGTCCATGCCCTGATGCGCAGAGTCCATGACAAACTCCTCACATTTGTCAGGACCCCACGCACAGAGACCACCTCCAGCCTAGAATCTTCCCGGATCATTGCCAGTTGGAGTTTGGTGTCTCCGTTCCTCTTTTATTGTGTCACCTGGTCGGTTTCTGTGTGTCTGCCTGCACCTGTCCCCAGGACTGAGCTCAGTGACACCAAGACACAGAGTTAGTGCTCAGTCAGGGCTGGATGAATGCCAGACCAGGTTGACTCCGTGGGGAGCCCAGGCAGGGCAGGAGCCCGTGGGTGGCAGTCACTTGCTGAAGGTGTCCTTCAGGAGGGTGCTGTCTGAGTACGTGGCTGTGGTGGTGTGAGAGTAGCCCTGGAGGCTCCTGCCAACACAGCCCACCTGAACCTGTCGCACCAGCAGACCCTGGGGACCCTCTGGGGCGTGGACTCCTGGGAGTTTGCCCTGCTAGCTCTCAGGTGGGAAGAGGCCCATTTGCTGGGGTTTGGGGGCACATGTGTTGGGTTAGGGTTTCCTGTGCTGGAGGTGCCTCCCTGCTGCCCACCCACCCCATTCTGAGGCTGGTATGGTCAGAACCCCTCCCCCCAGCACCCGCCTGTGGCTCCTCTGTAATCTGAGCTGCCCCGTGGGTGGTGTCTCCTTTCAGGTGTCCTTTCCCAAAACAGCCGGGATGTGAAGCATTGCAGCTCAGCCTTCAGGAGTCCTTGGCCTCTCGGCCCTGTGCCACCGCCCTGGCTCGAGTCCCTTTTTCCTGGGCTGCTGTGGAGTTCCTTTTGGAGTGGGTGGGTGGGCTGACTGTGTGCATCCCCCTTTCCCTGTTCCAGGGTCTCCACTGATGTCCCGGCCTTTGTCCATTTCTTCTGAGGGACTGTGGAACACTGGAGGTGTAAGACTGTCAGATACTTCACCACCTGGACAGGATAGTCCACCTGTAGATTGGCTAGGTGACTTGGGAACAGCTCGCAATACCTCCCAAATGGAAAATGGCTGGGTGCAGTGACACACGCCTGTAATCCCAGCAACTGGGGAGGCTGAGGCAGGAGGATCACAAGTTTGAGGCCAGCCTCAGCAACTTAGTGAGACTCTGTCTCAAAATAAAAAGGACTGGGGATCCCTACTTACACCCACACAGGAATTAACAAGAGTTGGCCAGAATGTGGAAAGACTGGAACCTTGTGCTTTGCTGATAGGAATGTGAAGTCGGCAGCCACTGCAGAGGACAGGTTGGCATAGAAAACCCAGCTCAGTTAGACATAGGGTCACAGAAGATCCAGCAGTTCACACCTAGGTGTGTATCCAAAAGAGGGGAAATGGCAGTTCAGACAGGTACTTGGACATGAAGTATGTTAATATCACCATTCCCAGTAGCCATGAGGTGGAAACAGCCCAGCGCCCCTCAACTGGACAGAGTGTGGTCTATGCCCACAAAGGAGTATCACCCACAAACAGAGGGGAACTGAGCTGGTTTCCGCTCTGGACTGAACCCATACTCTTTGCATGAGCACTGTAGCCCTGAGCTCTGTCCCCAGCCTTTTTCATTTTGAGACAGTCTTGCTAAGTGGCCCTGGGCTGGCCTCAAACTTAGAATCCTCCTGCCTTGGCCTCCCGAGTAGCATCCAGAACAGGCACAGCCAGAGGCAGGAAGCCGGCTGGTGGCCACTGGGGCTTGAGTGATGGAGGAATGGCAGTGATTGTTTAATGAGTGTGGGGCTTCCTTTTGGGGCAAGGAGAATGTTCTGGGATTAGAGGTGAGAGTTGTAGGTGAAAGCTACTTAAGAATACTTTAAGGGGCTGGGGATGTGGCTCAAGCGGTAGCGTGCTCTCCTGGCATGCGTGCGGCCCGGGTTCGATCCTCAGCACCACATACAAAACAAAGATGTTGTGTCCACCGAAAACTAAAAAATAAGTATTAAAAATTCTCTCTCTCTCTCTCCCTCCCTCTCTCACTCTATCTTTAAAAAAAAAAAAAAGAATACTTTAAGAAAGATAACATGGAAGGCTGGGGACATAGCTCAGTTGGTATAGGCTTGCCTCGCATGCACAAGGCCCTGGGTTCAATCCTCAACACCACACACACAAAAAAAAGAGAGAGAGATAACGGGCTGGGTGCAGTGGCACATGCCTATAATCCCAGTGGCTCAGGAGGCTAAGGCAGGATTTGTGTTCCAAGCCAGCCTCAGCAACTTAGTGAGGCTCTAAGCAACTCAGTGAGACCCTGTCTCTAAATAAAGATAAAAAGGGCTGGGATGTGGCTCAGTGTTTAAGTGCCCCTGGACTCAATTCCCACGGGCACAAAAAAAGAAAGAAAAAAAGGTAAAATGGAGCTGGGGGTGTCTAGTGTGTGCAAGACCAAGTTTGGTCCCCAGCACTGCAAAAAAAAAGGGGGGGTGAATGGTAAAATTTATGTCGTGTATATTTTACTATGATTTGAAGGAAAAAGGCCCCTTGCTCTGGAAGAAGGTGGGAGGACAGGGTCTGACCCAGGATAGCGACTTAGCAAAACACTGGGATCCACGTGTGCCTTTGTGGAAGAGAAATGCCCACGTGTGCACCCCTGCTGGGGCAAACTGCCGAGGCCCTGTGGCAGAGGGAGAAATGAATGGAAGGAGGCGTAGGCCGCGATAACCACCAAGTTGGCCATATCAGCAAAGGTCTTAGTGGGGTGTGAGTGGAGAACCTGGAAGGGAAGCACTGGCAGATGCAGGAGGGTGGCAGTGTTGGAGGCGGGGGCTTCTCAAACATTCTTTATAACAGAACCCTGAGTGGGGAGGCGCAGGGATGCAAGTTGGCTACTGAGGGGGCACAATGAACAGGTGGCCTTCAGCTTCCATCTCCAGGGGAGACCATACAGAATGGGAGTAGAGGCCGCCCTCGGGGGCTTAAAATAGCGCCCTTGGCAAGCTGCTCCTACCCAGGAGGTGGGAACTTCAAGCTGCATCAGGATGCAGAGTGGGCGCTGGTGGCGGCTGCCAGGAATTCATGAGCCTCTCTCCTCCTCCAGACAGAGCCGGGCGGGGATGAGTGTGTCTCAGATACGGAGAAGATGGCCATGGATCTCAAGGACCCCAACCGCCCCCGGTTCACACTGCAGGAGCTGCGGGATGTGCTGCACGAAAGGAACGAGCTCAAGTCCAAGGTCTTCTTGTTGCAGGAGGAGCTGGCCTACTACAAGAGGTGAGTGTCCCTGAGAACTGCAGGGCTGACCTGGCCTGGACAGCCCCAGCGCCTCTTTTCTGGAGTTGCTGGAGTTCCGGTGCAGTTGCCTCTAGGGGACGGCATCCGTCTGTGTCTTCCAGGAACCCCTCTCTGGCCCAGGACCTTACGCACAAGCTCATCCTCTGTGCAGCTCGGCCCGAGCACTGGCTCATTCACAGCTTTTCTGCTGTTAGGAGGAACACGGCAGCGAGACCTGGGGTAGCACCCCAAAACCATGCACCTTACTTAATATTTTTGCAGCCAACATAAGAGCATTCATAAAAAAAAAAAAACACAAGCAGCCTCATAGCCGTACATTTCGGCTGTTGCCACCAAATGAGTTACCAAAAAAAAAAGAAAGAAAGACGTATTCTTGGCTTTTGTGCTGCACCTGGCTTGAGTCTCCGTCTGGGACCATCCCCCTCAGAGCTTCATATACACTGCTCTGCTTTTTTGTTACTCAAAATACACCAGGCTGTGGGCTGGGGATGGAGCTCGGTGGTAGAACACCTGCCTCGCATGTGCAAGCCCTGGATTGATTCCTCCAAGCACTAGAAAAAAGAAAAAAAATCCCACCTTACTTGTTCCTACCTCAGGATATTTGAATGTGCTGCTCTTGCTGTTAGGAAGGGATTCACTTGGCTTTCCCCATGGTTGACTTCTCATTATCCAGAGATCAGTCAAGTGTCACCTCCTCCTCACCCCCTGTCCAAGGGAGAGCCCTCCTGGGTGCAGTAACACATGCCTGGAGTCCCAGCAACCCTGGAAGCTGAGACAGGAAGATTGTAAGTTTGAAGCCAGCCTCAGCAACTTAGCGAGGGCCCGTCTCAACATAAAAAAAGAAAAGTGGTGGAGTGCCCTGGTTCAGTCCCTGGCATTGATAAAACCACGGAGCAGCCTGGTGCGCTCACGCCTTGCCCAATTCTTCTTGCTTCACGGCCCTTCCCCCCCATGTTCCTGTTCTTTAATGTGCTTGTTTCCCGTGGTAGACTATTAGCTACTTAACCAGGTGGACCAGAGGCCTGGTTGGTCTTGCCCCTGGCTGTGTTCCCAGTTCCCAGCATTTAGAATGGAGCTTAGCACACAGTAGGTGCATAACACATATCTGTTGGTGGGAAAGCCAGAAGGAAGAACAGATGGGCTGGGATTGTGGCTCAGTGGTAGAGCGCTTGCCTGGCACGTGGGAGGCACTGTGTTCAATCCTCAGCATCACATATAAATAAATAAAGTTATTTAAAAAATAAAATATAAGCTAATACTGGGAGATTTATGACTGCGCTGTGGGTTCAGAGATGGGTGGGATCATCTGGGTGAGACTGGAAGGCTTCGTGGAGGCGGCATTTGGACTGGGCCTGCCTTGCAGGTAGGGTAATTCCAGGTCTGGGACTTCCAAGGTGTGGACCGCTAGCCTCGGGTGGAAGAAACCCAGAGGCGTAGCACGGTTTTTGTAAGGACAGGGAACAGGGAGCAGTTCTGTTTGGCTAGAGTCCCGGGAAATTGAAAATTGGGAGGCAAGATCCTTTCCCGAAATTCCTTATTCTCACTCCCTGCCCCCCAAAATGTGTGCCCTCTCAAGACTGTCACACAGGAACTTCTGGAATATTCTACTTCTGCCAGAATTCTTGACTCATTGATCTCGTACCTCTCAACTCTTTCCAGTGAAGAAATGGAAGAGGAGAATCGGATACCCCCACCTCCACCCATCGCACACCCGAGAATGTCCCCCCAGCCGGAATCTGGCATCAGGAGACTGTAAGTGACACCCCTGGGCACGTGGGGCTCTCTGCACATTGCTGGCCATGAGGTCCATGGGTACCTGGACTCCCACCCTCAGGCACTGCTCTGGGGCCGGGCATGTCAATAACCACATCTTGCTGACATGTGCTTAACCCCTGGTCCGGCTCCCAATCTCGGGTTCCTCTCCCTGCCTGGACGCTGAGCTCCCTTGGGGGTCTCTGGGCAGAGAGGTCGGGCAGCATCAGGTCTTGGGGAGGCTTGGGCCTGAGGCTGAAGCTCAGGCACTTGCCTGAGTGTGTCAGATGGGGCGGGATGTGGCTCAGCCTTCAAGACCAGAGAATAGGCCGGGGGTGGGGGCTGGAGCATCTCAAGGGCTTGACCCTGGCTGTGAGGCGTCTGTGGGGCCTGGTGTACCCTGACCATGCATTTCAGCAATGTCTCATCCATTTAGCCCTGTCCCTCCACTAGGTATTCAGTGGTGCCAAATACATGCAGAGTCAGGCCCTGGTTGTTTGGGAGATACATAAAAAAGAGAGCAACCTGTCCCTGCCCTCAGCTAGACTTGAGGCCACTTAGATGGTTCTTGGCATCGCAGGGTCCATTTGAGATTCTGATGAAAGCTGACGGATCTTTCCCTTGGGAAAGACAGACGTGAAATGTTGTATGCCATTTCAGGAGGTTTGTGGACCCCTGAGGCCCTGGAGCTAGAGGTCTGTAGAATGGCCTATGCCGGCTGTCTTGTAGGGGCCTCAGAGACCTCGCTGTAGGCTGGGAGGTAGAGCACTATCCTGCCCATTTTGTGGCTAAGGAAACTGAGGCCCCTGCTTAGGGTTTTGTGGCTGATAAGAGGCAGAGCTGGGGTTTGAACCCCAACCTGGCCCTCTCCCCCTAGAGGGCCTTCCTGGGCCTGGGCCTTCCTGCTCTTCCTCCGGCAGGAGAGGCCTCAGCTCTGTCCCTGAGCCCCAGCAGTAGTTTTGAGAAGGCAGGTGGTTGGATGTGCAGAGAGGAAGCCCAGCATCGGCATGTGTCTCCTCCTTCACGCTCCAGTCACCTGGGGAGTTCTTGGCTGGTTCTTAGCTGGTGGGTTGACCTAATGCAGGGCGTGTGCGGGTTTGTGACAGCTGGACGTCTGCCTAGAACACAGTGCCCTGTTCAAGTTCCAGGCCCTGGTGGGCATGGGAGTGGGGGATGGCTTCCTGGGGTATCTGGGTTAACACCGGCTCCCTTCTTCCCAGCTACATGTAGCTTATTAGCTTGGCCCTAGATCCCTGCTGGATTAAGAGGTGGTGTGGTTCCTAGTTCTGGTTACAGATCAATATTTCCTAGGAATGAAGCATGGAACCAGAAAATCTTCCTCTGAATTCCCCAACTGTTCTGACCATTTGATAATTTGTGATCTTCCATATTTATAACTGAAATTCAAGTAACTGAAGAAAAAGAATTTGACTAAGTAACCACAATTTCCCGGCTTGCTCCAGCTTCAGGCTCAGCTGGATCCACGCCTTTGACTTAGCCTCCTCTCTCTGGGCTCCCCCAGAAGGCAAGGTAGCAGCCATCGGTTCAGATTCTCTTCCCAGAAGTTCCACAGAAATCACAGAACCAAGCCTCATTGGCTCTGGCTGGTCACATGATCATCCCTAAACCAATCACAGGGCAGCACATGGATTGCCAGGTCTGCACTCCCTTCTCCTCCCTGAAGCATAGAGTAGCTTTAACTCCATTCTGTTTGTGTAGACCAAGATTGGGAAGAACCGGGTCCCCAACAGGATCAGAGTGCTAGACAGAGGTACGACTGTCCGCTGTGGCTTCTCCTTGGGCACCGGGAGGCCTTCAGTCTTGGTTCTGTGTTCTTGGTGCCAGGAGAACTCTTGCTGCTGGCAGGGGTTCTTATAAGTCTTGGCTTAAGCTCTGGTGCCCGTGCCAGCCCCACTCGAGTGAGGACAGGCAGAGCCTATCCTATGTGCTTCAGTGGCCACAGCTTCTGGGTATCCCCTAGGGACTTTGCCAGACGGTTCAGGAGCCCCATCGATGCCTAGGCTGAGGGAGGGGAGACCGGGTTCTGCATCCTTCCGTCATTCATCCCAGGTCTTTAAGGATCAGACCTCTCCACCATCTCCAGGGCCTGTGCACTGCCTCTGGGGAGCCTCTGGCCCACAAGTCTCAGAATTCCTTCCAGCTGAAGGAATTCTGAGCACACCCCCACCCCTCCCAACAGGTAATGAAGAGTTGACTTTTGCCAACCTCAAACTAGATGAAATCTTGAGTTATCAGAATCACCCATGAACCCTCTTTCCATTAGCTCTTCTACCCGCGCCTGACCAGGCTGCCTGGCTGTCCTTCCCTTCCACGTGGCTTCATCCCTTGGAGCCCCTGTCCCTTTAGCTTATCCTCTGGTGCTGTGAGCTGCCTGGGGAGGCAGCTGGAATTGGGAGCTCAAGAGAAGACAGAGAGGAACAACCTCGCACCGTGGGGTGCAGGTGGCCAGTCCCATAGCAGCCCCTGCCTTCTGGGGGTCACTGGGGGAGCCAGCTGGCACAAAAGGCTTTTGACCAGCCCAGCCAAGACACTGGTAGCCTTTGTCCTCCTCAGGGGACCGAGAGCTGCGGCCTGTGAGCCCAGAGGTTGGGAGGAGCCTGGGGCAGGGAGGGATCTTCCCTGGCCCGGGGAACAGCAGTTCTTTTTTTTTTTTTTTTTTTTTTTTTTTTAAATATTTATTTATTTTTTTTTAGTTTCCGGCGGACACAACATCTTTGTTTGTATGTGGTGCTGAGGATCGAACCCGGGCCACACGCATGCCAGGCGAGCGCGCTACCGCTTGAGCCACATCCCCAGCCCATGGGAACAGCAGTTCTTAAGATGGTTCTTAGCCGATGGCCTTTACCTCCCCCTCTATACTCATCTGGGCCTGGCTACTCTGCTGTCCTTGCCTTGCTGTAGTCCTGCAGCTGTTGAGTGGACTTCACAGCTGGGTTCCAGCCCAGTCTAGTGCCCCTGGCCCAGTGTTCCCCACCTTTCACTCCCAGCTGTTGAGTAATGACCACCGGGAAGGCTATGAGACCTCACCAGCTAAGACCACTTGAACTAAAGTAGCCTCCACCCTGCCAGAGGCCCAGAGCCGGGACAGTTCTACCCATTTCTCAGATGAGGAAGGCAAGGCCCAGGGAAGGTGTGGAAGTCCATTAGATCATGTTACCACCGAGGCTTGGAGTCCGGCTGCTGAACCCCTGGCTTTTGTCTATGCAAACCCCTCCCACATCCAGCTGTGGGCTGCCTGCCCAGGTCCCTTATCTCAAATATGCCATGAGTCAGAGATGTCAGACTCGGACATTTCTGGGCTGAACATAATAGGGGAACCAGAAACTCTGCTGCCAGTCAACAGCATGCCTGAAGATGGTCCAAGAAGAGCTTGTGACTGAGCAGCCACTGGCTGGAGGGGACGTTGGCACTGGTCAGGAAGGTCACGGGGGAGCCCTGGTGACTTCAGACTCAGCCCCAGAGAGCGTGGCAGCAGCGCCCCCTTGGTGTGGTCCCAGCCTCTGGTTCCTGCCCCAGGCACAGAGCTGCTCTTCACTGGGGTAGGCCTCAGGCTGCCCTGGAGCAGGGTGCAGCAGCCACATGGGGACCCCGGGGAAGTGAGGGCTCAGAACTGGCCCTATGGAGCGGAAGGGCCGGCCTGGGAGCAGGTGGCCACACAGTCTTAAACAGGAGGGGAAGCAGTGCATTCTGTCCCTGTCCTCCCACCCGCCACCCCTCCTCGTTCCAGCCAGAAATAGCTGCTTCTCAGCCGCCCATTGTACCGCCTAAATGCCACCCTTAGAGCTGCATTTGGTTTGAGTCTTCCAGAATTATCTGGGGGGTGGGGGTGGAAAGCAGTTAAAACCAGCCACACTATGTCCAAGACACCTCCCTCTAGAGGTGGAGGCTTCTGCAGGGCAGTGCCTGGGATACTGCAGACAGGGGCTCCAGGTAGCGGTCCCAGCAGCCATACAGACAGGAACTCAGCCAGGACCCTTCAGGTGACCAGAGCCCCTTGACCAGGCCCCAAATGAGCCCAACATTTCCAGGTGGGCAGACTAACATCCATCTGGTGTCAGGGACACCTGCCATGTGTGTCCAGGGGGTGCCTGCTTGGGGCTCCCTGGCACAGAGGGGCGCAGAGTGGTATGTCCCAGAGCCACCTGTGTTGGGCAGCCTGGCTTCTCAGAATTGGGAGTGTTTCTTTAGGCAAAGGTGTCCTCTGTTTTTGGTGTCATTGTGAAAAATTATCCAGGTATTCTGCAACTGCCTGCTCCTCAGAGATGGCCTTCAAGCCCATCGAGACATAGAGGAGTCCCCAGACAGCATTGGACAGAACTCTTTTATGTCTTTTCTCAGCTACCTTAAAAAAAAAAAAAATCACCCTGGGCATGGTGGCACCCACCTGTGATCCCAATGACTCCTGAAGCTGAGGCAGGAGGATCCAAGCTTGAGGCCAGCCCCAGCAACTTAGGGAGACCGTGTCTCAAAAAATATGGAGACATAAATTTTTTGGTACCAGGGATTGAATCCAGGGCTGCTTAACCACTGAGCCACATCCCCAGCCCCTTTTGAATGTAGGGCCTCTCTGAACTGCAGTTGCTGAGGCTGGCTTCGAATTCACAATCTTCCTGCCTCAGCCTCCTGAGCCACTGGGATTAGAGGCACACACCACTGCACCCAACCTGTCTCAAAAATTTTACAAAGGGTCTGGGGAAGTATTTCAATGACAGAGCACACCTGGGCTCCTGGCTGCCCCAAAAAGGAAAAAAAAAAAAAAATCATAGCTTTTCACCATAAGCTCTGGAGGCCTGGAGTTGTCTTCATTTCTGTGCCCCAGCTGAGGGACAGATGAGCATTGGCTGTGGCAGTGGCCCACCCAGACGGGTGAGGTGAGGAGACCCCTTAGGGTGGCACAGATGCCTTGGCCCTCATCCTGCCGGCCAGCCTAGGAGCAGGGAGCCTGCAGCTCGCGGTGCTGGGGGAGGCTGGAAGCACCATCGGCTCCCCCCACGCCCAGGCCTGCTATCCCTCCCTGGAGGCTATCATATACCATGTTTTGTTGGGCTGCTGTAACAAAGTGCCACAGACGGGGTGGGGGGCTCAAATGATCGGCTCTCAGGTGTTCAGGCCAGAGCCCAAGATCAGGGTGTCAGCAGGCTGGCTCATGAGGACAGTCCAGGCTCCCTTCCCCTCTGTGGTCTGCTGGCCTCTGTGGCCGGCCATGGCATATACAGCCTGTGGTCACCCAGGGCTCGGCCTCCCTGACCACACGACAGCCCCTTGCTCAGGCTCACATCCAAGTCGCTGCCTTTGAGGAGAACATTTGGGTTGGGCCCGTCCTCCTGCAGTGCGGCCTCGCCCTACCTGGTGACATCCACCAGGGACCCCGTTTCTATATGAGGGTACATTCTGAGGTGCTGGGGAACAGACGTCCACACCTGGAGTGGGAAGGGGACACAGTTCACCCCTGACACAGAGGCGTGCAGCCCCGGGCCTGGCTGTCGCTCCCTGTTCATCTTCTCTGTGTCTGTCTGTACTTCTCTGACCAGGATCTTTACAGCCATCATGCCCATGGTGGCAGCTGGACTGATTCTAGATGACCCCACGCTGCAGCCTGTGCGACGCCTCGTTTCCCTTGTAGGCACTGTGTGTGTTTGGGGTTCCATTTGACCTGTGCCTTGGGGGTGTGCTGAGGCTACTGCTGGGGCCAGCCTGTGTCCTCAGGTCACTTGAGCTGCATGGCCGTCACCTGTGCGATGGCATCTGAAGTGGCCATCGAGCTACTGCTCTCTTGCCCCACCTGCACGCTGCCGCCCTGGAGTCTGGGCTCAATCACCCTTAATTCTTTTTATCTTTTTCTGTTTTTGTTCTTAAAAAAAAAAAAAAAACCAAAAAACACAAAACCACCTTGCCCACGATGCAGTAAAGAAGGTCCTTTGACTGACGGGTCAGTAAGCACCGCCCACTGCCATCTCCGAGTGCCACTAACCTGTGTTCTCCCTCCTCGTGGTGCCACGCTTCCTAAACCGCTTTGTTGTACCGAGCCACGGGCAGCCGCTGTTTGATCTTGTGACAGAAAGGAAAGCAGGGGGGCCGGGGCGGCTGCGGGGACCTTGCCATGCTGAGCGGCTTTCCTGCTTGCTTCCATCGGCAGAGGCCAACGACAGGGTCACGCTGAGTTTCCGACAGCTCATTGCCGCAGTCCCCCGTGGAGTGGGACCGCACACTCATGTGTCCTTGTGGAGAAGGGAGCCCCTGTTTGCTAGGGAGAACGTCCGGGGATACACTCGTGTTCCCCAGCTTTCTGATGAAAGAATACTTGATTCCTGGTAGAGGGGGCCCGGAGCGCCTGGTGAACACAGACGAGTAAAGGTATTTTCCCCTGGACGTGGTTCAAACAAAGCCCCACAGGTGACTGCACTAAATGAAGGGATGGGCGAACCTAGGTGGGAACTAAATGTAGCTTCTCTGAAGGTGTGAAGTCCCCATGGTTTGAGTCCTCTTCCTGCCCCCAGGAAACGTAAGACAGCTGTTATATTCTCTCTCACCGAGTTCAGAAAGGTGAGTAAGAACTTGCTGGCAACAGGAGGAATCCCGTTAGGGCTTGAAGCATTGATAGAGACCCAGGAGCTTAGAGCTTTGGGGATCCTCAAAAGGGGCCAGGTTCACCGGCCTGGGTCCTAGTCGCTGTTCATGCGATCTCGAAGCAGACCTAATAGGCCTCTCCGCGAGCTCTGTGCTCTCTTCTGCCTCTGTCTCTCAGGTTCACTGTGATCCATATGCAGGAGTCACAGCCAGAGCTGGGCAGAGTGGCACAGGCCTGTAATTCAGTGACCCAGGAAGCTGAGACAGGAGGACCACAAGTTCCAGGCCAACCTGGGCAACTTAGGGAGAAGGCAGACCCTGACTCAGGAAAAAAACCACAAAAACAAAAACTGGGATACAATTTGGTTTAAAGCACCCTTGGATCAATCCCCTGTACTGGGGGGCGGAAAAAGAAAGAAAGAAAGACAAACTTCTTGGGCCGAGGTTGTGATGCCTTGCATGCTCAGGCCCTGGGCTCCATCCCCAGCACTGCAAGGGGAAGACCCTGGGCCTGTGGTACCTATTGTGCTGTAGCTGGTTATAGCAACACATCCCCAGGGCCCATTTTTGAAAGTCCAAACTGATGTTTCCCGAATTTCTTTCACCTACTGTATTCACACTGTGTTTCTAACCAGAGAACTCTGTGCCAAGATGAACTTAACACATTTTATTGGTCTAATTTTTCTTGAATACCTACATGAGCCTCATCCTAAGCAGTAAAATCCATGAAATCTGGGCTTTCAATGTGTGATTTCCATAGTCTCCCGATGGACATCTCATAAACCCATAACTACTTCAATTAGGAGCACTTCGCGGTGTACATCAGAATCACCTTAAATTCCACACACTTCAGGGACTCCTTTTAGGGCAGAGCGCTTGCCTGGCATGAGCTGGGTTCCACTCCTGGCACTAAAGAACAGAACCAAGATGTGTTCCCATAGCTCTCAGTGTCCCCTGGTCCCCAGAAGGATCTCACACATTTCACATGTGCATGCCTTGCTCAAGCGGCCTCCAAGGTCCTGGGGCTGAATGCCATGCAGACGCCCCTGCTGCTTTCTAGAATCCTGACCTACCCTGTGACTTCTTCCTTACGTGGATTTGCCCCCGTGTTTGCTGTGTGTCCCTGGCATTGCCAACAAAAAAAGACCACGTGCGGCAAAGGGCCAGCTCTCATTTCTTTCTCATTTCCCTTCCAAAAGGTTTAGCTTCTTCTCCAGAGATAAGAAGCGCCTGGCCAACACGCAGAGGAGCATGCACATCCACGAGTCCTTCGGCCAGTGGGCCAACACCCAGCGGGACGACGGGTACACAGAGCAAGGACAGGAAGCCCTGCAGCACCTGTGACTGTCGCCCCTCCACGTGAGGGCCAGAGATGTCCGCAGGCCACACCGGCTACCGAACTGAAGGGAACCCACTGAACCCCAGGCAGGGGCCGCCGGCCTACACCCTAGTGCAGACGGGCCCTCAAAATGAACCCCTCAGACAAACTGTGTGCTTTGGGGGTGGACATTGAAAAACTGATGCCAAACCCTAAAGAAATGTCTATTTATATCCAGGGCTTTTGCCGTTTATAATAGATGACTTTGACCCCTTAGGATATATATTTAATATTCCTGTGGACTCAGACCAGACTTTGTGTTAACCTTAGTAACAAGCTTCTTTAAGCCAAATACATCACTTGCCACTGTAACTGGTGTTTGCTTTGCCTTATATGAAATTCTAGGTGTAGAGGATTTATCATCACTTTTGTGGGAGACAGTAAGAGGTGGCTCGTGTTATCATGAGACTGTCGTGGTGATAAAAGATTGCAGAGAGCATACTGACTGGACAGCCAGCCTCTGATGTCCCAGGGTGAGCTGCCCAGCTCAGACACAAAGCAACAGGACAATTTTGCAAGAGCCGCCAGTTGCTCCTTCTAAGTCAGGAGCATGGGGCCACATCCAAAGCCACGCACCTTGAGCCCGCTGTCCTAACCCACCAGTTGCTAAGGATGAGGTGCTAGAACATCTCCTCGTGTGCGGGTTTTTTTTTTTTTTCCCCTTCCTTTTAATGGCATCTTTTTTCTTCTGTGTTCACTGTGTTTAGCATCCTGCAAAGAAAGCAAATGTCTCCAGACTGGGAGCAGGGTGTGGTAGCCTAGGCGATGCAGGAAGACAGGTGGGGTAGCAGAGGAAAGCTGAGGGCGGGAAGGGGCAGGTGGCTTGGGACTGCACACCTGGCTCACAGCTGCAGTGGCCAGCTGCCCTGGCTGCCCCTGAGCAGATGGGCTGGCTCACATGGCTTTTCTCCACCTGTGGAACACCTGGTGTGCAGGACGAGGTGTTCAGGGATCCAGAAAGGCAGCACTTCCTAAGAGCATTCGAGGATATCTTGACAGGTGGGGCCACATTCTGTGCATTCAGTAGAGTCTCTGTGAGGTGGATCTGCAGGATCTAAAGAGCCTCTGCTGTGGAAATGATTTGGATGGGATAATGTAGTTGCTTTAGAGCAGTGGTTCTCAAACTGGCCTGCACCTTAGAACAGTTAAGTGTTTATTCTCAAAGAGTGTAGGAGCATGGCCAGGTGCAGTACTGTAATCCCAGCAGCTCAGGAGGCTGAGGCAGGAGGATCACAACAAGTTGGAGGCCAGCCCCAGCAACTTAGCAAGATCCTATCATCTCAAGATAAAACAAAAAAGGCTGGGGATATGACTCAGTGGTTAAGTACCCTTGGATTTAATCTCCAGGACCAAAAAAAAAAGGAGGGTTTGGGGATGTGGCTCAATGATAAAATACCCCTGAGTTAAATTTTGGTTAACACACATTTTTTTTTATTTGCATAACACATATACACACCTTGGGATGAATGTGTAACTCTAGTGTTAAATTATTTATGTTGGATGAAACCTCTTGAATTTCAAGAACCTAAACTCTCAGAGATACAGCCATAAGAAAAAATGCTAAATGTCACTTTTTTCAAAATTATGTGAGCAGTATGGTATTTATTTAAGTCCACAGAAATTAAGGCCAGTAGATCTAGCTCTCAAACCCACCAGAGGCCAAATAATCAGAAAAGGGAGATTCAGCCCATTAGAACAAGCCACAGTGCCTTCGCTGATCCTGACCCCTGTGTTCTTCACTTCATTCTGTGTAGCTTGTCCTTTCAGAGAGCCATGAGACTGCCATAGATCACAGCCCCACGATGCTGGGGTTTAATTTTAAATGCCAACCAGAAGAAAACATAGGGTCAGCAGTTTGTGCTAGAATTTACCTTTCAGAGTGCCCAGATGTTTGGACTGGTGTTAGCATTAAGTCCACGCATCCTTCGCCGCTGGTGCTCTCCCATCCCTTTGAGCGTCTTACGTGTGTTACTAGGAACTGGACCAGAGTTCACTCCCACTGAGCCACGTCTCCAGCCTGGTTTGTCTTTTGTTTGAGACAGGATCTTGCTAAATTTGCAGTCCTGTCACAGGCTCCGAGTCATTGGGAGCCACCATGCCCAGCTCTATCCTACTTTTAATTCAATTCAACCATACTTGGGCTATGGATAAGAAAACAGAAAAGGACCAGGAGTGGTGGCGAACGCCTGTGATCCCAGCTACCAGCAAGGCTGAAGGAAGCAGGAGGATCGCAAGTTGGAGGCCAGGCTCAACAACTTAGTGAGGCCCTGTCTCAAAATACACTGGGATGTGACTTAAAAAGGACTGGGATATGGCTTAGTGGTAAATGCCCCTGGGACTCAATCCACAGTACTGAGGAAAAAATTAAAAAGATATAATTTATTCTGATCAGATCAGGGTCCCAGAGTCTCAGATCAGTGTGAAGGACTGTGAGCCATGCCCTCCTTTTGCCCCACACTCAAGATCATTTCAGAGGGACTGGGGCTGCAGCTCAATTGTGGAGCTTTTTTTTTTTAAGAGAGAGAGAGAATTTTCTAATATTCATTTTTCAGCTCTCGGTGGACACCACATCTTTATTTTATTTGTATGTGGTGCTGAGGATCGAACCCGGGCCACACGCATGCCAGGCGAGCGCACTACTGCTTGAGCCACATCCCCAGCCCAGTGGTAGAGCTTTTGCCTAGCATGTGTAAGGCACTGGGTTCAATCTGGCACCACATAAAATAAATAAATAAAATGAAAGTATTGTGTCCATCTACTACTAAAACAATTTTAAAAATTAAAAAATAAATAAATAAACAAAAGTACTGTGCCCATCTACAACCAAAAATTAAAAACAAACAAACAAACAAACTCAGGGCTGGGGCTGGGGCTGAGCCATAGAGTGCTCGCCTAGCACATGCAGGGTGCTGGGTTCAATCCTCAGCACCATATAAGAATAGAGATATTGTGTCCAATTACAACTACAAAATAACATTTTGAAAAAGAAATTTCAAAGAGAAAATCAAGACAAATTCTCTACAGGCAAATGAAAGCAGAAAGGTGGTTGCTCACAAGAGCCTGCTGTACAAATGTGACCAGCAGCAGAACTGCTTCTCCATCCTGTTAAATAACAGTGATTGGTGGGGATATGGCTCAGGGTAAAGCGTTTGCCCAGCAGGTACCAGGCCTTGGGTCCCATTCTCAGCACTGCCAAAGACAAGACAAAACTCTGTCTTTAGAAAGAGGTGGTGAAGGGCTGGGGCTGGGGCTCAGTGGTCGAGAACTTGCCTAGCAAGTGTGTGAGGCACTGGGTTCCTCACCACATACAAATAAATGAATAAAATATAGGTCCATCAACAACAAAAATATATATTAAAAAAAAAAAAAAAGGCAGACGAAAGAGGTGGTGAAGGTGACAGGTTCAGAACACCACCTTGAACCTCGGCTCCGGCCTGGAAATACCTGGGCTCCAAACCCCATCATCAGTAAGCTTTATTCGTGCTTTATTGAGTACAGCCTGCCCCTGTCCTGTGCCCTGTCCCCCGCCGGGCCTCTACTTGCTTCGGTCCCTCTTCTCCCTCCCCCTGGGCCTGTCCTCCCTAGGGTCCCGCTCCCAGTCGTTCTCAGGCCACGCCCTGGATGGCTCTCTCTCGGGCCACCTCTTCTCCCGGCCCCTGTCGTGGTCCCGCTCCCTGGCCCTGGACTCCCAGTGTCGCTCCCGGGACCGGGACCGCTCCCTCCGGTCCCGCTTGCCCTCTCGGTAGAGGTCGCCCTTGACCACCGGCAGGTTGATGGGCTTCCGGAAGGGCCGGTCACGCCCCCCGAAGCGCAGCTGCCCCGACTCCTTCTTGCCGCCCAGGCCGCCGCCCAGCCGCCGCGGCACCCAGCCCCGCAGCGTGCGCTCCAGCTCGTAGTCCACGAAGAGCTCGCGCTGGTCCACCAGCAGCCCGTCGGCGTCGCGGTAGGCCTTGAGCAGGGCGCGCTCCTCCCGGAACTCGATGAAGGCGTAGCCCTTGGAGAAGCCGGTCACCAGGTCCCTCACCAGCCGCAGCCGCCGGATGTCGCCGTAGCGCGAGAACACCTCCCTCAGCTTGTCCTCCTTGGTCTGCAGGTTCAGCCGGGCCACAAACAGGGTGAGCAGCGGGTCCCCCGTGACGCCCTTGTTGGGGACGTACCGGGCCAGCATGGCCCTCCACACGGCGCGGTCGTGCGGGTCCTCGTCCGTGCCGTCGATGCTGCCCGCCTTGAGCGGGTCATACTCCTTGGCGATGGGCATCCAGTCATTCATGATCTGGGGGAGACAGGCAGTGAGAGCCACGCAGCCCGGGCAGCGAGAGCCGCCAGTCCCCGACCCAGTCAGAGCCCAGGGCGTGAGCCTGGTTCCCCCACAGCAGGGCACTGACGCTGCTCCGTGGTGTGGCCCGCGGTCCCAGACTCTCCACTGCCAGGGACTGGGTGAGAGGGCAGGCAAGACGGCCCACGACTGAAATCCCAGCGCCCAGGAGACTGAGGCAGGAGGATCCAGCTCAAGGCCACCCTGGGAAACTCAGTGGTAAAGTAACCCTGGGACTTGCATTTATTTATTTATTTTTTGTTTATTAAAATAAATCAATTTACAGGAGGCTGAGAGGGCAGCTCAGGAGTAGCCCAGATGGCAGGCTCCTCTGCTCCCCAGGAACCTGGGATCTCCTCTTGACTCTATTATCCCAGGAGCCCGGGAACTGACTACAGGGAACTTTTACTGGTGGGCACACCGCAGTTGTCACTCACTCTGATGGGTGACAACTGACTCTCGGGATGCCTGATAGAATCGTAAGGTCTTGTCAGCACTCAGACCCGGCTGACACTCACATAAACCCCTCCTCCAAAACCAGGACTCTGTGGCCTGTCCATGGTCATTCTGTTTCCTGATGGCATCTTCCCATAATATTAAAATGATGTCTATAAAGTTTCTCCTCTTAATCAAGTTTTCCTCAAGAATCTTTTTGCTTTGCTTGTTCAGTTGATGGGGTGAGTAGGGGCAGTGACCAGTTGCTAACGGGGTGCACTGTGGAACTGCTCCCCCAGTAAAAAGCTGAACACCCACAGAATAAACTCAAAGCCAAGGGCACTGCACTTGAGGCCTCTGGCCTCACTCACACTCTCACCAAACCCCATTACAAAGCCTCTTCACACCATGAAGGCTTGCTCCTGGATGCACCCCAGTCCTCAGCTCCTCTCTGCCCTGCAAGGAATATTTCCTTCCTTTCTGCCTCCCACACATCCACTTTTAGAAATCCCACCGATCCTTCCAAGTCCAGCTTCAAACTCCCCCCACAGAGCAAATGTGCCTCCCCCGGCTCCCGGGACCCCTCCTGGACTGACTGTTCTGCCCCACGCACAGTGAACACCCTTGAGTTTATTATCTCCAGGTCCTAGGACACTTCCTGTTGAACACTGGGGAACTGAACTAACTGCCTTCCAAGTTCAACAAAAGGGCCTGTCACTGAGAATGGAGAGGGAGCACACTGTGCCACACACCACCAGGTGGTGGAAGGAGGAGGGTCCCGCCTGTCATCATCAACAAGCAAGTGGAAGACAAGCAAGTGGAAGCCAGGCACCGTGGCCACCACTGGGGAGGGTGGGGCAGAAAAGGATCGAAAGTTCAAGACCACCCTCAACAATTCATGGAGGCCCTATGTCAAAATACAAGGAACTGGGGATGTAAGCTCAGTGGTTAAGTGCCACTGGGTTCCCAGCACTGAAAAAAATTTAAAAAGTCAAACAACTTTGGAGAAGATGCTTCTCTGGTATCTTAAGCAGTAAAGGATGATAGACCATGAGGGCATCAGAAGGCACAGAGGACAGGAGTGAGACATTTGCAGTCCTGTTCTGGCTCTGGCTCACTGTCTTTTCTCTCATGGATAGAATTTCTCCACGTGAAAACAGAAGAGATGGAGCTATGGTATTTTGGTCCCAATCCTCTGGTATTTGGTCTACAGAGACCCCTTATCTACTGGGCCTGATATTCCTGGAGTTTAGTCTTATTCCCCATTCCATCACAGGGTTGCAGGAAAAAACTATGATGATTACAGATTAGTCCAACACTTAACAGGTGCCAAGCACTGTGCTAAACCCTCCTCTAGCTCTCAGCAACAGCATGTAGGTAGGCACCGCTATCACCATCCTGTCAGATGAGAAGAGCTGGACACAACCAGGCACCCTGGCACACACCTGTGATCCCAGCGGCTGGGGAGGCTGAGGCAGGAGGATCACAAATTCAAAGCCAGCCTCAGCAACTTAGTGAGGCCCTGAACAACTTAGTGAGCCGTGTCTCTAAATAAAATATAAAATAGGAGTGGGGACATGACTCAGTGGTTAAGCAGTGCCCCTGGGTTCAATCCCTAGTACTTAAAAAAAAAAAAAGAATAAAAACTCTTACCCCAAGTCATAAAGCTAAGTGGTGGCCCAGTGAGGGGGTCTGAACCAGGAGCTTTGAACGAGGAGCTGTGTTGAACTCCAGAGCTTGAGCGCTTGACCATTTGCTCAGGGGGCTTTCATGAAAGATAAGGCTTTGGAGATTAGAATGAAGAAAATCCATCAGGATTCTGGGTGTTGGAGACTGAGATCCATGATCCGCCTCCAACCCCAGGAGGAAAAGAACCCCTCCTCATGCAATATAAAAAAACCATGTCCATGGGCTGGGATTCTTATAGCTCAGTTGATAAAGTGCTTGCCTTGCATGCACAAGGCCCTGGGTTCAATCCCCAACATTACACACACACAAAAAAGTCACAAGGATCCACCAACTAAACTTACATTATTGGGGTTGGGGATGTGGCTCGGTGGTATAGCGCTAGTCTAGCACGTGTGAGGCCCTGGGTTTGATCCTCACCTCAGCACCATATAAAAATAAATAAAATAAAGGTACTGTGGCCAACTATTTCTAAAAAAAATTTTTTTTAAAACTTACATTATCATACATAATGTCGACAGCTCCTGTTCCAAGCTTTAAAATTACTTAAAATTAAAATATAAAGAATGATAAAGAATTAAGCACAAAATTTGTTCTGTCTCATCTGCATGTTTTTATCAATACAACAGCAGCCTGCACTGTTCATAATATAATACGATATTTCTAATTGTATCTGCAGCATCGCAGCATTATATTGAGATCTCCTGCAACAATCTCCTTGGATTTTTACATTCTGGTCAGGGGAGAGATTTGAGAGAGGATTGATGGGGTGGAAGTGGATGGGGCAATTAACCGTCAAAGGCAAAAATATGGGAAAACGACAAAGGGCACTAGGTTGGAAATCAGACTCTCAAGGCTGAAGACCCAGTTCTACCATGTAGTGCCAAAACTTAAAATTTAATTAAAATTTTGAGAATCTGAATTATTATCTATAAACGCGTCTACACGCCACGTCACTGGGTTTTTGCGGACTGGATGGTATCAAAGAAAGTGCTTGTTTATAAGTTATCATAACACAAATAAAAGTTTTGTTCTATACAAGTCTCTCGTTCCAGGGTCTTGGGATGAGCCAAAGCCCCGCTCCCGCCGACAGCTCCGGGCATGCGCAATGGCGCTGGGGAAGCACGGGCGGAAGTCGGAGCGGGACGGCCTGCGCCACACTGCCAGCGCCCCCATTCCCTCAGCCACCACCTCAGCCTGGCTGGGTCCTCCGACCCCTCACCTCCTGGGGGGGCGCAAGGAGGAAAGGGCCACCTTTCCGTTCCAGTTCTCGCCCCTCTGGCCCGCAACGCAGCTTCTGAACTGTCCCCCTTTGCCAGGTTTCAACGTGGCGCCGCGCACCTCGGCGGCCACAGCATCCCCACAGAGTCCCTCTTCTTTCCCTCGGGCGCAGGCCCGTCCCTTCAGATGCTCCCACTCACCTCGGCACAGCTCCGGCTCGCGGAGACCTTCCCAGACACCGAGATAGATAGGCCCCGACTCCGGGCAAGGGGAGCTTCCTGATGCCGGCCTCGACCAGACGTCTACGTTGCCAACCGCAGATTCGTCAGATGCTGTTTTCCTTTTGCCGTTTTAAGACGTCCCGTCACCTGCATTGGACCTCAGGGGCGGGTATCTTCCGAAGAGATTGCGCTTTCATTTGTTTCTTTTTTCTTTTCTTTTCTACACGAAAACAAAAAATGCTAAATTGACCAGTTGCTATAGCACCGAATGTGCAGTTAGTTTTTTCTGGGAACCGCTTAGGCTCACATGTGGTTATGATGATTTTTAATGAGCCCCGTTGGCATGAAATTTTATACACGGTCCCAGAGGTTTCATAATCCCTGTGTTGCCGAAAGCTCGGTCCTTGTCCCCATGCCAATCCAATAAGGAGGATACGGTTTTGAGAAACAGGAAAAAGAAGGTTTATTGCTTTGCTAGCAAAGAAGAAACCCCAGGATTCCTGTCCCAAAGGCTGGGATTCTCCCATCAGCAAAAACAGGGGTCTTTTAAAGAGGTGACTCAGAGAAAATGAGATTAGGGAGGAGAAGGTTAAGGAAAAGAAGATCAGGGAGGAGGTCAGGGAGAAGATTGTTGGGAAAAAGAAAAAACATGTAAGTTTCAAAGCATCTAGTGAATAAACCCCTGTTACACTTGGACTTAATAAGTTCACTTTCCATACAAGTAGAACAGTATTTTTTTTTCTTTTTCCTTAAACCAGGAAGGGCTCTACCACTGAGTTGCATCCCCAAATCTTTCTATTTTTATTTTTATCAATTATTTACTTACTTATTTTTGGTACTGGGGACAGACCCCAGGAACTCTTTACCATTAAGATACCGCCCTAGCCTTTTTAATTTTTTATTTTGAGTCAGGGTCTGGCTGAGTTGCTAAGGCTAGTCTCCAACTTGTGATTCTCCTGCCTCAACCTTCCCACGTGTTTTGAGATTACAAGCATGCCACAGTGCCAGGCTCCCTGATGATTTTTGTAAGAGCACAGGAAACCCCTGCAGTAAGAAGCCCAGTTTAATAAATATGTACAATTATGTGTCAAGTTAAAAATTTAAAAATTGGGGGGCTGGGGATGTGGCTCAAGCGGTAGCCCGCTCGCCTGACACGCGTGCGGTCTGGTTCCATCTTCAGCACCACATACAAACAAAGATGTAGTGTCCGCCGAAAACTAAAAAATAAATTAAAAATAAATTCTCTCAAAAAAAAATTTAAAAATTGCATTTAAAAAGGAAGGAGGAGCCAAATTTAAAACCCAGGGTGAGAGGGAGTAGATATAATTATATTTTTAATATAATTATTTATATAATTAATATCTACATGGGCTGGGGTTGTGGCTCAAAGATAGAGCACTTGCCTAGCATGTGTGAGGCACTGGGTTTGATTCTCAGCACCACATATAAGTTAATGAATAAAATAAAGGTTCACCAATACCTAAAATATATTTTTAAAAAATAATTAATATATTGGGACTGAGGTTGTAGCTCAGCGGTAGAGTGCTTGCCTCGCACCTACGAGACCCTGGTTTCAATCCTCAGCATCACATAAAAATAAATAAGTGAAATAAAGGTATTGTGTCCAACTACAACTAAAAAATAAATATTAAAAAATAATAATTAATATCTACAAATTATTAGAAATAATATCATTAAATATTTTTAAAATCTACTTTTAAAAATCTACAAATCTATTTTTAAATATTACAAATATCTACAAATTATTAGAAATAATATAATTAAATATTTTTTTTAAAATAGCACACAGTGATGGGATTTGTTGTTACATATTCGTACATGCACACAATATAAAAATATGGTTTGGTGAATATCCTTCCCTAGCCCTTCCCCCTTCCTCCCTTTGTCCCACCCCTGGTCCCTTTCCTCTGCTGACCTCCCTTGGATTTTCACAATGGATAGGTCTTATATCAGTTATGCTGTGTTTCTTTTTCTTATTTTTTGAGAGCTGGGGACCAAACCCTAGGCCTTACACCTGCTAGGCAAGCACTTTTCACACCCCCTGCCCATCTACGCTTAATTTTTCCACATTATTTTATTGTGTATAATAGTACACAGTGATAGGGACTAGAGTTGTAGCTCAGTGGTAGAGCACTTGCCTAGCCCGTGAGGCACTGGGTTTGATTCTCAGCACCACATATAAATAAATAAAATAAAGATCTATCAATACCTAAAAAATATTTTCAAAAAATAGCACACAGTGATGGGATTTGTTGTTACATATTCATACATGCACACAATATAAAAATATAGTTTGGTGAATACCCTTCCCCAGCACTTCCCCCTCCCTCCCTTTCTCCCAGCCCTGGTCCCTTTCCTCTACTGACCTCCCTTGGATTTTCAGAGATCCCTGTCCCCTCACTCACCCACCACTACCTATGGGTAACCAGCTTTCCATATGCTTTCTTTTCCTGTGTTCTCTCTAGCTTCCACATATGAGAGAAAACAAGACCCCTGACCTTCTAAGTGTGACTTATTTCACTTGACATGATGGTCTGTAGTTCCACCCATTTTTCTGCAAATGACACAATTTCATTTTTCTTCATGACTGACTAAAACTTCATTGTGTACCCATTCCACATGTTCTTCAACCATGTTTTCATTTATGGACACCTTGGCTGGTTCTGTAGTTTGGCTATTGTGAATTATGCTGCTGTAAACATAGGTGTGCAGGTATCTGTAGCATGATGACTTTAATTCTTCAGGATAAATATCAAGGAGAGGTACAGCTAGGAGTCTTTGGGGGAACCTCATGGTGATTTTCATAGTGGCTGTACTAATTTACAATCCCACCAACAAAGTGAATGTGTTCCTTTTTTTTTTTCTTTTAGAGAGAGAGAGAGAGAGAGAGAATTTTAATATTTATTTTTTAGTTCTTTCTTTGTATGTGGTGCTGAGGATCAAACCCTGGCCGCAAGCATGCCAGGCAAGTGCGCTACCGCTTGAGCCACATCCCCAGCCCTTATATTTCTTTTTTGAGGTGTGTTTGTTTAATTCATTTACCCACTTCTTAACTGGGTTATTTTATTTTATTTATTTTTTGATGTTAAATTTTTTGAGTTCTTTCTATATTCTAGATATTAATCCTCAGTCAGAAGAGTATCTAGCAAAAATTTCTCTCCTATTCTGTATGCTCTCTCTTCACATTCCTAATTGTTTCCTTTGCTGTGCAGAAGCTTTATAATTGGATGCCATCCCCTTTATTAACTCTTTGCATTATTTCCTGAGCTTTAGGGGATCTATTGAGAAAGTCATTGTCTGTGCCTATGTACTGGAGTGTTGACCTTGTTTTGTTTCTAGGAGTTGTGTAATTTATGGTCTAATTCTGAGGTCTTTAACCCATTTTGAGTTAACTTTTGTGCAGGGTGAGAGAAAAGGGTCTGGTCTCATTTTTCTACATATGGAAAACCAATTTTCCATTCGCTGAATTTTTTGAGAACTGCCATGCTGTTTTCCTAGCAGCTGAACCATTTTATACTCAGCAGCAATACCCAAGGGTCCCATTTTTCCATATTCTCATATTATTGCCTTTTTTAATTTGTTCTAATTAGTTATACAGGACAGTAGAATGCATTTTGACACATTGTACACAAATGGATCACAACTTCTCATTCCTCTGGCTGTGCATAGCGCAGAGTCACACCAGTAGTGTAATCATACATGTGTTCGGGTAATAATATCCGTCTCATTCTACTGTCCCCTTCCCACAGCCCCATTACTCCCCTCTTCTCATATTATTCTTTCTTTTAATAATAGCCATCTAGGCCAGGCACAGTGGCACATGCCTATAATCCCAGTGGCTCAGGAGGCGGAGGCAGGAGGATCGATCCTGAGTTCAAAGCCAGCCTCAGCAATTTAGTGCTTAGCAACTCAGTGCGACCCTGTCTCTAATAAAATACAAAATAAGGCTAGGGATGTGGCTCAGTGGTCGAGTGCCCTTGAGTTCAATTCCCAATACCCAAAAGAAAAAATAAATAAATAAATAACCATTTGGGGCTGGAAGTATATAGTTCAGTGTTGGAGTGCACACTGATGTGTGCAGGGCCTTGAATTCAAGTCTCCAAAAAGACGTGATCTGAAGGACCATCTCCATGACTGTCAGAGTTGTCTGTAAAATTAAACATTTAAAATGAATTATTTTTTCTTTGGTACTGGATATTGAACCCTCAGGCGCTTACCACTAAGCCAATGCCCCAGACTTTTTTTTTTTTTCCATTTATTTTATTTATTTTTATGTGGTACTAAGGATCAAGCCCAATGTCAAATCAGGTGAGATCGGGCAGCGGCCAAAGGAGGCAGATTTAAAAAGGCCCAGGAAGAGAGGCTTTATTGAGTTCCCAGGCGGAACTCGATCAGACCCACAGAGTGGACAGAAGAAGGGTCTGAGGCGAAACTACGTGGAAGCTCGGCCAGACTGGACTTCTATGGGGCTTACAGCAGGAAGGGAAGGGCTTGGGACAGGAAAAGGTGTTTTTAGAGTCCCTTGTCCCATTGGAGTTCAGGGGAGCTGGCTGAATTCCAGGATTGGCCAGGGGGTCCTGCTGATTGATAGGCATTAGTCAGGAGACCCACAGATTGACAGGTATTTCCATCGGTGCCTCATTGATGTTTCTTTTCCATGCGGGCTGCTTTGTTCTAAGTCACCGCCACTGGCCTGACATCCAGGGCCTCACTTGTGCTGGGCAAGTGTTTTACGCTAAGACACAACCCCAGCCCAAGCCCCAGACCTTTTCATATTTTATGAGGCTGGCCTCCAATTTGCAGTTCTCCTGCCTCTACCTCTCAAAACGCTGGGATTACAGACCTGTGTTACCACACCCAGCAAAATAAAAAAATATATTTTTTAACTGCAGGGGATGCAGCTAGGTGGTAGAGAGCTTGCCTAGCAAGTGCAAGGCCCTGAGCTCAATCAGTCCCCAGCACCCAAAACAAACAAAACAAAAACCCCTTTGGGAGATGTGCTTGCATTCCAGTGGTGGAGAAAGGGCGGGTCTGGGGGCGGCGAGGCAGACATTTAGTCCCTTCCCCAAATGCTCCTCCTACCCACCATCCTGAATAAACACATCTCAACAGCTAAAAGCAAAAGAAAAAAAAAAAAAAAGGAAGTGTTCTCTTATTCACATAAGTAAACAGTCTCAAAACAAGTGCCCTGGAGGCCACCTTTCCTGCTAAACAGATTCTTTTCAAGTTAACCTAGTTCGTCACTGTGGTGCACGCCTGTAATCACAGTGACTGAGGAGCCCCTGGGCCCTGGCAGGAAGATCACAACTTCAAGGCCAGCCTCAGGGATTTAGGGGGCCCTAAGCAACTTGGGAGAC